AGCTGTTTCCAGAATGTCATCGATGGCAAAGTTGAAGAGGAATGGTGAGATTGAGCAACCCTGCCTAACCCCACTGCTCGAATGGAACAATGGAGAGAGGTGGTTGTATGCCCTCACTCTGCCTGAGGTGTTTTTATACAGGGCTTTTAGGATGTTAATAAACTTCTCAGGCACACCCTTCTTCAATAGACAATCCCAGAGAACAGTCCTATCCAACGAATCGAAGGCAGCCCTGATGTCAAGAAACACTACGATTGTTGGCCTTTGAAAAGTATGGTGGTGTTCTAACATTTGGCGGAGGGTGAAGATATGATCAATACATCCTCGACCAGAACGAAACCCAGCCTGCTCCTCGCGAGTCAATCTTTCTCGGGTTTTGAACAACCTACGAAGAATGACGGAAGCCAATAGCTTGGACGCAATCGGAAGTAAACTTATCCCCCGATAGTTGTTACAAGAACGACGTGAACCCTTTTTAAAGATAGGGACAACTATCGACTCATTCCATGACGTTGATACACTCTCTAGTTCCCAAACCTTTGTAAACAACGTCGTCAATTCCTTAGTCAAAAAGTCACCACCATCTTTAAAAAGAGCCGGAGGTAAGTCATCTGGGCCAGGTGATTTGTAACGCTTCAAGAGTTGGAGTTCCTTGCGGACTTCCTCCTCATTTGGTGGATCAGTCGTCACCGGCCATGGAGGGCAGGACAGTCTGACCGATGTTGCCGGAGCAGCAGGCCAGTTGAACTGCCCTTCGAAAAATTCTGCCCATCGTCCAAGACGTCGATGGATGTTAGTGATTGGCATCCCATCATCCTCGCAGATTGTTTCACTCACACCAGACTTCTTGCTGCCAGTGGCTCGTATGAGCTGGAAGAGCTTCCAGTAGTTACCAGATGCAGGTGCTGCTTCTAGATCATTAGCACGCATCGACCACCAGGCTTCTCGGTCCTTACGCAAGCTTTGCCCAATTTCCTCACGTAACATCCTTCGTTTATGGTCAAACTCACGGTCACCCGGAGTAGACCGACGGGCTTCAATGAGTTGTAAGGAACCAGAAGAAACCCAGTGCTTAAAAGCGGGACGTTTCGCAAACCCACAACTGACTGTTCCCGCCATTTTCATGGCGTCATGCAATTGCAACCAATGCTCATCTATACTTTTCGGTGGAGTGGTAGCTAGCCTAGAGGCTAGCTCGGTTCGATACTTACTTGCAACAGAAGTTGCAACCAGCTTGCTAACATCAATCCGTTGATGGCGTTCACTTCGTTGTCCACTGAAAAGTAAGGCAAGATTGGCGCAGACCAAGGCATGGTCAGAGTCCAGATAGGTACTCCAAAAGGAGCGGCAGTCTTGTACACAACCACGCCAGCGGTAGCTGATCGCGATGTGATCAATCTGAGTCCAGGCTTGAGATGCAGAGGGAGGACGCCAGGTGGCACATCGGCGATGACTGTACCGAAAGTTAGTGCTAGCCAGAAACAGGTTGTGGTCTGTGCAAAGTTGCAGTAGACGGTCCCCGTTATCTGACCTGCGACCAACGAGTCCCCATCGGCCACCTAAACGACTCTCTTCTGTGCCTAGACGCCCGACCTGAGCATTCAAGTCTCCGGCTAGTACTACAATATCTGTCGAACGCACTTTCTGGAGAAGAACTGATAACTGGTGGTAAAACTCATCCTTGATTGCATCCGGGCTGCAATCTGTCGGGGCATAGGCGGAGATGACGAAAAGACATCGTTTCTCACGCCGATTTCTTCTCACTTTGATGGAACTTTCTAATCTAACAGCACATAACCGACTGTTAATGGGGATCCAATCGACTAGTGCTGCCTCAGCTCTAGCGCTTAGTGCGACACCAACGCCAGCAAGACCAGACGAAGATGCCACAGGGTCCCCGGATAAGCGCACGTAAAACAAGCTTTTCGAAGCGACAGATGGAGATCGAATTTGTAGTACTTCGCCAGAGTCTTGAGTACGGGTCTCGGATAGACAACACACGTCGATATTAAGACTTTCCAAAGACATAGCCAGCCCTATCTGTTGTCCGACCTGCATAAATGTGCGAACGTTGAAGGCAGCCAGTTTGAATGGTGCACGTGGTTTCAGAAAATCTGCTTCAGTCCTCGTATTCGGTGGTAACATACAATTTTCAACCGGACAGTGACTCGAGAACGTTTAGATACAGTCGGATTTCCACCAAAGACGAGCCGCTGTATAAGTATAAAAGAGGGTGAATAATGTGGAAAATAATAATAATAATTATAATAATAACAATAATAGTAGTAATAATAATATTAGTATTAATAATGACAATATTTGTAATGATAATAATCTGAATCAATTGTTTGTTTTTCAAAGCGAGAAAGGTAATTTCCATAGGCATAGAGAGTTCATCATTTGTGTGTGGGCTGTGATACTGCCCGGGTGCCCAAACCGAAGCAGGTGGTTATCTTAGGGGGCCACTCCCCGAGCCTTTGACCTAAAGGTCTAACCCACAAGGCAGTGGAGCATCGTAAGGAGATGCAGTCCCATGGTAGCCGGTGACCAACGATTGGTTCATACGCCATTCGTTCCCGCAGGATACTGGAGCCCATGTGCACCATTGATTTGGAATCCGGTTAAAGCGCCGGACATTCGCTTTTCGTCCTCTCATTTTCGTAAACAACAGCAATGCCACGAGAAGGCAATGAGTAGGACTTCCCTGACAGAGGCTGTATACGCGTGGCCGTGTGAGAGTATTTCGAAAGGGAGAGCGGACTCTCCCCACTCTCGCCCGTACCAGGGCATTCGTTTCCATACGGAAACTTCATGTAGTGAGCGACATTTGCGTTGAAAGTCGCATGCAGTGTGCTGCCTACATAAGTCTAGTGCTTCATTTATTGATGCGCTAATAGATTGATCCATCCTATTAAGTCGCTTAATAGCTAGCTCCTTCCATAATGAAATAAGTTTTTTAGTAACACCTAAGTATATCATGTACGTTGGTTCAGAAGGGAAACATTTTATCATATCCACTGGCAGATTTTCAAATGACCTTCTACCACGATGATGGATAGATTGGGACCTACTGCGAAAAGTGACATCAGTTCTCGAATCGTGTTCACCATTGGGGAAAGTCATTCGACCACCCATTCGTGTCCCTAAAACCTGACAGGTTCCAAACTTTGGTTGGAACGAATGATCAGTGAGCTTTTTCAAATAGATTTTCTACGACAAAAGACATACCATCATAACATTAATCCATCTTCAGTTCGTATATCACTGTCAGATTACTTATTTACTAAAGTTGTCGTTAACAAACCTCCTACTTCACCTTATCCAGTCAACAATTTCGTGGGGCTAAACCAAACTTGTAACTTCGATTCAACCCCTTAAGAAACTCAAAGTTGTGCAACATTTAGCTTCACAGATTCCTCTGCATAACACCATCTGGCTTCGCAAAATTTTATGACTGTGTTAAAATCAAGTAATAAAAGCAGCAAACTACAAGTACTACACCTAGAAAACTCGATATTAAGTAGCTCTTATTCGCCTGAGGGTTAGAATAACTAGTTCAGTCCCTGTTTAATATCAGTGAATTTAATATACTAATAAATAAAAGGAAATAATGTATCAAAATTATAAAAAATTCGGTAAAATGAGATATTCTAGTACCATTTACTTGTTCCTTACTTTATTTTCATCCTCTATAACCATCACAGTTTTATTCTCCTTTTCCTCACAAGCCAAAACTAGGTTTTCACAGATTCCTAATACTCCATTATTCCCTCCGTATTCTGTTAGGTTAGTTTATACCTCAGTAAATGTTTGTTGAATTAAACTCAATTCATGTTTCTCTTGGAAATTCGGATGTATTTATCAGCATTTTCATATGTTCGAAATAATAAAACGCTATACAATTAAATTATCTTGTATTTGAATTTGCTTCATGGTGCCTTTTTCTACAAAACATTTTATTGGTTAAGTTATTAATACAAAGCTAGAAAGACATTGTATTGTTACTCCTACGAAGGTGGAAAAATTTAACTGTGAGGAAGTTAATAGTAACTTTTATAACAATACAAATGATTTGGTGTTATTCAAAAGACAAAAATAACCCGACAGGTAGTTTACTAACTGAATAAATCTCGAAATCTCATCCAAACAGATTTCAAAGGGCAACACCACTGATCTGGTTATGTTATCAACAAGGTAACCAAGATACTATGAATTATCAATTTTTTATAAAGACTAATAATATTACCCGGTTGTTCGAATCGCAGTAAGCGTAACGAGATTCTAATAGCTTAGTGACTCCTTCATACTTAACAGAACTGTGACTAAACGATCCTAGAACGTGACTTTAAACTGTTAGATCACTTGCTGGAAATGTGTGTCGCTAATTTTCGTGAAATAAGTGTACCTTTCAGTCTTGTTTGTTTGATCGTATTACTATGTCAAAGTTGCATATAACAAATAATGGGTCATAGTCGGCAAAAACACTAACGTTAAAACCCTTGAAGTGATTAATGTTGGTCTCTGTTAGCGGGACATAGACTGGATTAAAGCATGCTCGATGCACGATTGCTTTGCTGCACTCTGATTGGCTAATTCTTATCCAATCAGCACTAGTCGATAGTTGGAGAATACTCTAAACTCTTCTCGTGTAAAAACTATAAATATACTAACGTTTTCTCTATTGTGCTTCTTACTTGCTTCTTCTTACTTCCATCTAACCTTGTTATTTGGAATATAATCTCTTTCCTGTTCAACCATGTTCTGATTTGGGGACTTGTCGAGTGATTTGGTGTCAAGAATATTAAGCAATAGGAATGGCTGGGTCGTACCGTAGGAAAAGAGATTATAACAGTCTCGGTCCCGTTTAACGCCTTAAATATGCTTTTTCGAGTTCAAAAAATGGGATGTTTAGTGCCTCACTTAGCTTAATTACCAAGAGTAATAATTTTAAGTATAGGTTTATCTTTCAGCATCCGGTTTAATTTTTTTTCTGTCCAACTTTGTAATTTTTCAGGTTTATTAATGAATTCACCCAAGGGACCAATATTTTCAGATGACTTTTCGTAAAATGGTCCCATGTTTCATTCGTTCTTATCAAGTAAGTTGACTCGTGTTCTAAGTGTTTCAAGGATACCATACATGAACTTAACAAGTCTATTAAGCTGTCGAATTACTTAACACCGTCAAATCCAAGGATTTTGAAAGAACAAAGGTATGGGTTGTCCGCTGTTTATTGCTCTGCTGTTGGAATTGAAGTATGTTCAAAAATTTGCTCAAGTTATTTGTACAACAGGATCAGCAACTACGTGACTTACATGTTATACATGTTACAGGGTCTAAAGGCAAAGGCTCAGTTTGTTCAATGATTGAAAACGTCTTACAGAAATCCGGATTTCGCACTGGGTTTTTAAGGTTAGTATGTGTATACATTCACCTTTTGTTTTTGTAGTCATTATAATCAGAATGCGAATTTTAGGCAGTAACCAGTATATTTAACTGTTGGAGCCTTAACAATTGAAGAGTCTATTTTTTAGTGACGCCAGAAGTGTTGGATTTAAGTAGTTTTCTTCGAGAAACGTTTTAATCGTCTTTCCAAACTTCACTTCAACAATTACTTGTTTAGTCACCGCCATCATTTGTCATCTCAGTGCGTGACTTTAGGTTTTCATGGAGTATTTATTTGAACGCTCATCACGAGTTACTCTGATTGTTAATGTTTGAGCCTGAATAAACTTTAAAACAAGTATCTGATAAGCTTCTCTATGTTATATTGGAGCATTTCCTGTGTATTAAAGAAGTTGCTAAATAGTTAACAAAACAAGAAAACTGCTCTTTCGACTTACTCTGGTGAATAATTTAGTAAAAGTAATAACGATATAATCGAAAGCTCCTTAAAGCCATTGAATGTCCGTGGAGCCACCCGTATAATCTGATTCATAAGGTTCGTTTTGGCTGACTTGTATCACATTGGAAAGTAGTCTTAATAAAACTCAAACTAAATAACCAATCGATGTCTTCATTTTAGTTATCTATACTAATTATAACTAACATTATTCACAGGAAAGCTTAACTTCTCCCCAGATCAATCAAGAATATGAAGTCATATTAAATTGTTCACCTTCTTTTGTCAACTGTCACCACATACGGGACCATCAAGTGATCAAAAGGGCTGTGTTATGTCAACTAATCCTATATGTGTATACTTGTGTTTTATTTAAATAGCTCTCCTCACCTCATAAACGTTGAGGAAAGAATACGGATAAACGGACGGCCCATATCCCGTGATCACTTTGCTAGTTTATTTTGGGATGTGCATGGAACACTTCTTGAGTTTACAGTGAGTCTCACGTTGTTTGCAAATGTCTGATTTGGTATTACTGCCTCTAACTAATCTGTGATAAATATCTGATTGTAACTAATCAAGAAAATAAGTTGCAAATTTCAATTTAAGGTACATCATAGTCTTCAAATCAGTCGTATATCAAAATCAGTGAAGCCAGAGGATCGTGACTGGGCAAATTTTCAGCCAGTTAGTGCTAATGAATGAAATGGGAAAGTACTAAAAGATTCTTATATAGATTTTGTATACAATTTAACGTTCTTACTATACTAACTTTTGCTTTTTGGATTTTCGAGTGTATTTTTGTTGACGTCCGATTCTCATTCTGATTTAAGACCAGTCGAGTAAAATATTATGCCCATTTGATATGGTTTAAAATAGGTAATAGTACCATATATTTTAACACATATTACTCTATATTTGGAGCATAATTAGTTGCTAGTGATCTGTGTGGGTCCAGTCCAAGCTAGCTTCATACACTAGCTAACAGTAATCCCAAATCTGTCGTATAGTACAATAATAAGTTTGGGGGGGGCATAGCAAGACGATTTGAGTCTATAAACCATCGGACTGAAAAGTATTGGTAGGTACAAACTGTCTGACTGAGGTCCGCTCTACTATCGTTCCCATTGATTGGGAATGTCGAATTACAAAAGTCATGATCGATTTCAATGATATAGATGTATTCAACCTTTGCCTTTTATGGACGTGGTCGCACTTGCATATCGTGATGACTTAATCTGGCTACATTGGCTGGACCACTTGTTCCTTTAGGTCTTATCATCTCTTTCAGGTTAGTTGGAGGACGTTAAAATTAGGAGTAGCAACTTGAAGTCTGAGAGTGAAGCCGTACTACTGACTGTATAGGGGTATGATAGTAATGAGGCTCTGGAAACAACAGATTTCACCTTGTCCCACAGATTTTCATCACCGGTGTTGAGATCTGAAAAGTATGTTAAAGTATCTACAACTGTTTATTAAATGGTTGTGTGTGATTGGCTTGAGTCAGTTGTCCCTTATGTGTTCTGCAGTCACACTCTCAAGTCGTAAGGAATCCAGTTTTCTCCTTAGAAATTTTGAGGAGAAATATCCTTCCACGATATGGAGAATAGAAAAGTAACAACCGCTCTCATATCTGTAACAACACACGAGATTACCTTGTTGACACTGAGATCACTCTGAGACTTCTTAATATTTATTTTTTCTTCATGAGCCTCTAATACTAAATAGTCCTGCTGACTGAAAGCTACTGTAGGTCCTTTGAAACGACTCTCTAAACTACACGTCGGATTATTGCATGTTCAAACCCTGTGTCAAGTCGGACAACAGACTTCACCACTAACTATGACCGTAGAATATTGTGCCATTAATGTGTGCTGTCTCTGAAATATGCATACAGTATCCCAGTGGTTTCGTTAGCTTGATCTAAACTAGATAGTATGGTGAGCCAATGCAATCTACACTTCATGCTTCTAGAGACATGATAGGAACAGGGACATTTTGCCCGTATTCATACTGATAGTTTCTCATGTATTGTGCAATTAAGTGGTACAATGAGTTGATGAGATATAGAAACATATTGTTATTTCTTTGTCGTTTGTGGAAATGCCCTCTACTAATCACAATAAAAATGAGTTTTGCAGAAGGCGTTCTGATCTCCTTCAGAAATCAGGGCCCTCAGAAACAATAATCGTTGCAGGTGTCTTAACTCCCTTAGTTGGTAAGCTTAGTTATGTTGAGAAACACTTATGTGAGTCTTTTAGCTTTCATTCCTAGCTAACAGATAACGGTGACCGTCTTCTACAGTTATGCTCAAATATTTATATAGGTTACACTGCCATCACTCATCTTAAAGAGTCCCGTCTTTTTGAGATACATTCTAGGTCTCCGACCAAGCCCCAATGATAGCATTCATTTCTATCCTTTTTACTGGATGTCGAAATATCCTCTTAGATATCTCAGTTTGATGATGAAACTGTCGAGAATCTATGAACTACCGAAAGACTGAATTTTATCAGCGTTTTCATCAAACAGGACTATGTCATTTGCGTATTCTAAATCGACAAGTGTACCTCCAGGGAGGTGGTCAGTGCCCGAAAATTCATTCGACGAGAATGTTAATTCCATCAGCATGTCTATGATGAAATTGAACAAAAGTAGAGATGGTGGACATCCTTGACGGACATCACTTGAGGTTGCAAAATCAGATGACAGTTCGCCATAAGCTCTGACTCGACGGGTAGTATTCGAGCAAAAAGCCTTCACAAGGTTTATGTACTTCTGAGTTACACCTTTCAATGACAGACTGCCACAGAACCTCACAGTCTACAGAGTCAAATGCTAATTTTAAGTCAAGAAAGACCGCCATTGTCGGACGCCGATAAACCTACCTGTGTTCTAAAATACGACGAATGATGAATTTGTCGATGAAGCCACGTTCAGGTCTGAGGCCATACTGATTTTCTCGTGTTTGCAGTCCACAAGTCTTTGTTAGACGCCCGATGATTATTGAGGCTAATATTTTAGATGCTATGTTAGTCAAACTAATCCCTCTGTGGTTATCAAAGGATGATTTTGACCCTTTCTTATATGTTGGGAGAATCAGTGATTGTGACCAGCCAGATGGGATAACGTCCAACTACCAGATTTTAGCTAAAATATTAGTCAACCTAATCGCTAAAACTGGATCACCATCCTTAAAGACCTCTGGAGCTAATCCATCAGGACCACCTGCTTTTTTGCGTCCAGTGAGGCGCAAGCAGATGCGTGTTTGTATTAGAGCATAGTCGGAGTCCAAGCAGGTATTCTAGAATGAGCGACAATCGACCCACTTCAACGATGACTGATGGCAATATGGTCTATTTGAGTCCATCGTTGGTTTGTTGTAGGGGGTCGCCATGTTAGACGATGTCTCTCCTTATGCTTAAAATTTGTGTTTGCTAAAAATAAACGATTGTTTGAGCACAGTTGCAGCAAATGGTCACCATTATCTGTTCGCTGTGTCGGAATACTAAAATATCCACCTAAATGCCTTTCTGTTTGGTTTAAGCTACCTATCTGAGCATTAGAGTCACCCCCTACGAGTACTATGTCTGAACGTTTAGCTTTCTGAAGAAGTTCAGAAAGCTTTCTGTAAAATTCATCTTTCACATCATCTGAGCTGCAGTCAGTGGGAGCGTAGGCAGAAACGACGAAAAGGCAACGACGTGTGTCCCTATCCTTCCGAGTTCTTACGGAGCTGTTTAACCGAACAGCACATAGACGACTGTTGACGGGGATCCACTCTAGCAGTGCTTGTTCCGCCCTCATGCTTAGTGCCATGCCTACACCTGCCAGTCCACGAGAGCTGACCGTCGTGTCACCAGATACACGGAGGGTGTATCTCGTTGGCTCTCTGTCTTGCCGAGGTGAGGTCAGGTGAATGCCCACACTGGGATCCTGTATGCGTGTTTCAGAGACACAGCATACATCAATGGAAAGAGACTCTAGGGTTTTAGCCATGGAAGCCTGCTGACCGATTTGACATAGGGTGCGTACGTTGAAGGCTCCAATGTGTAGTTTGGAGCGGGGTTTCAGTAGACCTGGGACAGAGTTTTGCGCACTAGAATCGTTGGCCATGTTGATATTTAAAGAGGAAATCAAGAGAGCAAGTTTAGAGTTGAAAGTCGACGTAGGAATTGAAGAGGGGGATTGGTTATGAATACAATGATCTTGAGTACTCTTAGAGGTATGAGGGCGGTTATCACTTCCCGGTTACCCACACCGTGGAAGGGTTCTTCTGGAGGTACCTCAAGAGGAAATCAGGTTAGGGGTGGTCGTAGTGACCTAAGAGCGTGACCGCAGCGCCCAAGGGACAACTACTTGAGGTTGATCACACACGACCTTTTTGTAAGTAGTTTTCATGTCAGCTTTGTTGTGTATTTTATGGCCGCTAGTTATCACATGATTTATTCGCCAATCAAAATACGACTTATTCAATCTTAGTACTGTCCAAAACCAATGACGTTCGACCGGCATGAGCAGCCTAGCGTCCTTATTGGTCCTTTGTTCGCCTAGCCCGTCCATTTGAGTCCAGAACACCGATAACAGCTTCCACTATGCAAATCATTTATTTCAAAAATACTTGGTTTATATACCAGTCAAACATCGCATCACACCATAAAATAGGAAATAACATTTATACAAGGTCAAGCCAAAAAGTGGCTGCGAACGTAGGGGACGGTAATTAATAAACTGAATATAATTTAGGAACAGTAAGTCGTATAATAACAATTTATAAATCAAAAGGCTTATAATAAGAGGAATATAGATATACATAATCTAGTTACTGAACAGTTATACAATAGTGATATATATATATATATATATATATATATATATATATATATATATATATATAATATTAGTCCATTAGTAGATCTCAGAAGTTACCCGTGCTTTAATCTTCAGTAGGGTATAACAAGCTCCGTACTTGTTGGGACCTCACTACCGGAGACGGATATTCGTGGGATAGGGCGAGGTGTGCATTTTAGAGTTGATCTTTTCTAACCCCAACCTTCCTTGTGGAAAGGTAGCAACGCTGTTATTCTGGTTTTCTGAAGGGAACACCTTACCGCTGTCACATCTCTATGCAGTAAGCAGTACTACTTCTCCCTCGGACCTTGGGTTAACTGCTTTTAGTCTTACCGCTCTTCAACTGATCTATCTGGCATGGTAGGACTTTCATGAACGATTGGTTCATCAAGATAGGCAACCTCGACCACCACTTCAAGGCAGCAGCAACGGTCGGGATTCGACTGAGTTAACTGAGAGTTTTTGTGGCACTGTTTGTCATTAAAGAGGGTAACAAAGAAGTACATTAACTATTGGGAAGGTTCTCCTCGAATGCCATAGATAGAGCCAGAGCTTATGACGAACTGTCGTCAAAATTTGTAACCTCAAGTGACGTTTCTCAGGATTTTTATTTCGATACTAGGAGTTTTTTTGGAAAATACGCTGCCGTCGTTTAATTTTTGAAGGGCTAATTTCTTATCAGGAGATCCACTTGACGACCCGGATTACGCAAGTTATATGATCCTTCCTGTCTAGTGAAGGCGCCGAAAAAATACAGAATTTCATAACCGCATAAAGTAACAATGTGAGCATGTTTGTAATGTGATTTTCTCCCACTAAATGCAAAATGTTGCTTCAGGATTTGTGTACGTCAATGTCTGAATTTAATGATAAGGAATGAAGTGGTTGAGCATGTCAACCGCCTCGCTTATCCTAGGAGCCTGATCAACTCTACTGGATTAGTTTCCGACGAAGTCTCGGCACAGATTCTAAAAGCACAGCAGTTCACTCCGTTCTACCTCATAGGTGTGTTGCATGGCCATTAAGAATAGAGAATATTCGTATGTTACAAATATTGGATCATAGGTGTTTTCGAAACATTGTTCGTATATTTCGGGATCACCGAGTAAGGGATCTCGATATTAGACATAGGGTATTACGTAAACATGATGTCGATTTATGAGGTAGTGAATTTTCATCAACTGAAATGGTTGGGGCACGTGTTACAATTGACTAACCACCGTCAACCTCGATGGGCGATGTCGTCTGGTGTGGGAGTAGACTCAAAGAAAGCTAGGGTTGGCCAAACCGTGGCAAGACACCAGTCCGTGAAGTCTCTAACAGTTGAACTAAGCCAGGACTATCTGGTTGGCGTCGCCATCAATGGTTAGATATTTTAAGGAACATGACTCAGAATCATCCGCAATGTTATAGATGTATCTACTGTTTCCCTTCCCTTGAAATCTGAGTTCTCCAATCTCTTTACTACTATTAGTACTACTACTACTACATCTTTGGGATGTGTAATAATTTTATCTCTGTGTTAATGTGATGTGGCAACTTGAACCGATACACATAAGTGTCACGTTTTAATTTGAGTATGGCTGACATAATATTTAATTCGCAGTTCAGACGATGCAACAAAATCCTGTCAATTGAACTAACAAGATAAAAGGATCAACTGAACGTTGTTAATATTTCATTTGGCTACACCAACTGAGAGTACGTAATTTCAGATATTAATACAAGCTTTTGGAGAGCAGTTTTTTATTTTTACCGTACTCCATCATTGTTTTAGGCTTATATAATACAATGTTTTCGATGTAATCAATGTAATATCTTAATATCTGAATTGGTGAAGTTTAATTTCGTTGATTTCTTTTTCTGAAAACTATGAATTCAGTCGAACTTAATGACTAAGTACATGTTTGTATATTAGACTTCAAATCTCATTGTTTGAGTTGTAAGTATGGTACTTGATAGGTCTCACAAAAGTACATAAATGATCCGTTTCAAATGGTAGTTAAAACATTTGTCTATCAACTACTTGTTGATAGATGTAAGCTCCACTCTGTCCACCGTTTAGAAAATCGCAGAGTATCATTAGTTCTCGACCAAACAATATGAATGCACAAATTTATACCTGATAAGTTAAATAATTCACTCATATTATTCTCATTTTCTTGTGTTTATGTAGAAAACCTCAATTAATATACCTATGCCATCATTTCTTCATTACATTTTTGTGATGGCTTGTAAAGCATTTGTTGATGAGAAAGTGAGTTTACCTTTGTCCTTTAGTATATTGGCTTTGAGCGTTTACCAGTAATATGTGAAGATATTTATGTCTTAGTGTTTTGATCTACATAATGTTGATTGGGGTTGAAAGTGATGACGAACTGGACGGTACCTCTAATATAAGAACTAATCTATTCGACTAGAAGGACCGAACGACTTATACATAACCATAGAAACTTCATGAGAATGAAATACTAATTAAATTTTTCGAGTTAAGTTCGACAGAATGACCACTGAGAGCTGAATGTTTCACAGTGCATATAGTATAGCATCTCTAACTGAAGTGAATTGTTCACCTTAGAGACAATGTGTTATATCTTAACTGTGCTACTTAATGCGGAAACCGGATGCAATATACGACGAAATACCACTGAATAACTCTCTAACCTAGTGGTCATTAATTGAGAATGCAATACAAACTAAAAAGGTTTATTTCAACTCCAATCAACGATGATATTGTGTGATATTCGTGGGTATTTATAAAAGATTTTTGAGATTTTCTCCAGATTGATCCACTTAAATGTATTAATTCCAAGTTGCCATTTCCAATTTTACATGTGTATTCTATGAGTTTTAAAATGACAATTTAGAAAAATATTCTTTTCGACTGACACTAGCAAAATTTTCTGAAAATATTACATCTAAACCACAAGAGAAGAACTACAATGAATCATCAGATCGCACAGGGCTAAAGCATTCTATAAAATAACGAAAACTCAAAATGCTTTAGTTCAAATAAATGATAAAATTCCCATCATTTCGACACGAAATTATGTCCGCAGACTAGGATGTGTAGATTGTAATGGAGTTTTCTTATGAAATCGTAACATGTCCCAACAAACGTCTAAGCTACACAAACAGACTACCGGTCTTAAGCCCGGGTAAAGGAGGAGGGTTGGACATAGGGTCAGTAGCCCCATCCCGTAGAAAACAATCTTGCTAAAAAGCGCTAACCAGAATAAACAAATTAGACTATTTAAACTCCACCCTTCGTGTCGAAGGACCTTCATCGAGAAATATGATGCCCCAAGATGAAAAGTGAGATTCTTAGGAAATCACGTGGCCGACACCCCTTCCAACAACCAGAGCAATAATTAATATAGGTACATGGAATGTTCGGACAATTTTGGAAACTGAGAGAACCAGTCAAATAGCTTCGAAAATGAGGAGATACTACTTGATGGTTCTCAGAATCAATGAAACCCATTGGATCCAAGCTAAACAGAAAAGATTAGATTTGAAAGAGATGTTGCTGTACTCTAGTTACGAAAAATAAAATGCTCCGCATACTCAGGGAGTTGCTCTGATGCTGTCCAAAGAAGCACTTATAAGATGGAAATCTCATAGACCCAGGATCATCAAAACAAATAAGAAGAGAATTGTTATAACTCGTCAGTTGAATGCTGCTTGCTATATCTGGTTGTCTGTGATTGTTGTGTCGAAAACGTTTATCACTTATATTCGGAACGAGGGACCTCCGCGATTCCCACGACGCGAAAGTAAGAGCACAAAAACTGGTATAAGTGAAGATTTATTAACCCGAAAACACTGCGACGACGACGATAGTCAAAAATACACTCGTTTATGTATTGATTGTACACACGATTTGATTAATAATTAAGATGACATCTCATAACAAGTCACATATTAAGCATAGTTCATGTCAATAAGATACAAGATTATCGTATATCATAAAAGAAAACAAATACTACATTGAGTAGTCATTACATCGAATGAGAATGGAAGTAATGTTGAACGAAACTCATAATGAGTAAATCAATCGAAAATTGACTTTTCTTTCCATCATATCAAGAATCACAATGGATATTACCCCATGTTATGCACCCACCAATGATAGCAACGACGGTGATAAAGGTCAGTTTTACGAGAGGTTGCAATCGATTATGGTGAAGTGTTCAGGAAAGGACTTGGCCATCCTGATGAGTGACCTAAACTCCAAAGTCGGAATGAACAACACCGGGTATGAAGATATCATGGGACGACATGAGAGAGCGGAACGAATATGGTGACAGATTTGCAAATTTATGTACATTTGACAAAATGGTTATAGGCAGCACAATATTCCCACGCAAACGCATACACAAAGGTACATGGGTCTCATTGGATCACATTACATGAAATCAGATCGATCATAATTGCATCACTAAAAATTCAGAATGTCAATGAAAGACGTGAGAACCAGGAAAGGAGCTGATATAGCTTCAGATCACCACCAACTGGTATTTGCCAAGATGAAACTGGAGCTGAAGATACACTGGACAGCTGGGAAAAAGCAGTGAAAAGGTTCAATACTGCCCTCCTTCAAGATATTAACAAACTCAACAAATTCAAGGTAACTCTCAACGACAGGTTCCAAGCCTTACAAGATCTACTGAAAGAAGAAGAAACTACTATGGGAGGCAACTGGAAAGGTATCAAAAGAGCATTAACATCAACGTGTCAGGAGGTGCATGGCCTTAAGAAGCATCATCATAAGGAAAGTATCTCTGTCGAAACCCTAGATAGGATTCAAGAAAGGAAGAGCAAGAAAACAGCCAATCATTGAGATTCATGAACAGAAGAACAGATTGGTAAGATACTTTAAAGAACTCTTGAATAGTTCAGCTCCATTGAGTCCACCAAAAATCGAAGCAGCACCTACAGACCTTCATATCGATGTCACTCCACCAGCGATCAAAGAAATCAGAATGGTCATCAAGCAAATCAAGAATGGGAAAACAGCAGGACCTGACGTTATACCACCTGAGACACTGAAGTAAGAAATAGAGACAACTGCAAAGATACTCCATGTTCTATTCAGGAAGATTTGGGCGGAAGAACAATTGCTGACAGACTGGAAAGAAGGATATCTCATCAACATACCAAAGAAAGGAGGTATGAGCAAATGTGAGAACTATGGAGGAATCACACTGCTATCGGTACTGGGAAAAGTGTTCAACAAAGTTTAGTTGGACCGGATGAAAGATTCAGTGGACGCTCAACTGTGAGATCAACAGGCTGGATTCCACAAGGATCGGTACAGACCAAATCACAACACTATGGATCATCGTTGAACAATCAGTTGAATGGAACTCGTCACTACACATCAACATCCTTTACTATGAGAAAGCATTTGGCAGTGTGGATAGGAACTCTTGATGGAAACTACTTTAACACCATGGAATACCTGAGAAGTCCGTTAACGTCATCCGGAATTAATACGACAGACTGCAGTGCAAAGTAGTGCATGGAGGACAACTGACAGATGCATTCCATGTGAGGACCGGAGTCAAACAAGGCTACTTGTTTTCACCGTTTCTCTTTCTTCTGGTATTTGGCTGGATTATGAAGACCGATATCTGAAAGGAAGCCCGGAGTGCACTGGATAGGTTGGATGCAACTAGACGATTTGGACTTCGCAGATGACTTGACTCTTCTATCCCATGCACACCAACAAATGAAGGTGAAGACAACTAGTGTAGCACCAGCGTCCGCATCCGTAGGTCTCAAAATACACAAGGGAAAAAGCAAGATCCTCAAATACAACACGGCGAGCACCAACCCAATCACGCTTGATGGTAAAACTTCGGAAGAGGTGGAGTCTCACGTACCTGGGTAGCATCATTGATGAATGTGGAGGATCTGATGCAGATGAAAATGCAAGGATTAGCAAACAAGGACAGCATTCCTACGGTTAAAAAACATATGGAACTCAAAACAACTGTCGTCCAAGTCAGAATCTTCAATAGGAATGTCAAAACAGTTCTACTTTATGGAGCTGAAACTTGGAGAACTACAACAACCATCATCAATAGCGTATAAGTATTTATAAACAGTTGTCTATGTAAGATACTCAATGTCCGTTGTGCCGGATACCATCGGCAACAGTTTACTGTGGGAGACCAGGTTCAAGCTGAGCAGGAAATTGGAAAAGTGCATTGAAAGTAAATAGGACATACATTACAGAAAACACCAAACTGTATCATGATGCGAGCGCTAACTTGGAATTCTGAAGGGAAACGGAAAAGAGGAAGGCCAATGAACACATTGCACCAATAATTGGAAGCAGACATGAAAAAGATGAATAGCAACTGGAAACGACTGAGACGTATTGCCTAAAACAGAATTAGATGGACAATGCTGGTGAGCTGCCTATGCTCCTTTACGAGGGGTAACAAGCGTAAGTAAGTAAGTAGTGTCAAGGGCGCACAACAGAATATTTTTAGTATAACTAAGAGTGAAGTATGTCTGTTCATATGAATTTAATTTGATTTTTTTCTGTTCTCTGAAGAAGCGCCTCACACTGAGTTACGAAACTCCAGAAGTTTAATTTTTTCACACTCATCGGGTTTTATAAATATCGTTGTTTCTGTAATTATACTTTGAAATTATCGTCAATTATTGTCTTGTTTTATTTACCTCTGTAATGTCATAATATAGCTCACAATTAATTCGGAACTTTAATGATTAGAGAACTATTTTTCTCTAATTCTTTAAATGGTCTTGAATCAATTATTGTTATTTGTTTATTTTGAAGGTTTAACTCTTAATGTTTACTTCTAGGTAGATGTCGGGATTTTCGAAGTTGGTATTGGTGGACGTTATGATCATACAAATATTTTCAAGTGAGTTAACTTCTTGTTTATTTAATCAATTGTGTTTTTAAAATTCTGTCCCATTTCGCTCTGCGTTGATTGTAATATTTAGCTTCACTCTAGTTTCATTTGCCAATCGACCCCATAATATCTGCCGGTAGAATAGATAGGTTACTTATACCCTGAGCACAGCGTTCCTACACGTTTCATTTATTTATTTTTACAGTACTGGTTGTCTTGTAGAATATCCCACTAATAGTTTAGATTATTGAAGATTAATGGACAATGAAATATGTTATCAGATATTGTATAAAATATTCCCAAATGCCCTGGTACGGCCGAGAGTGGGGAGAGTCTGCTCTCCCTCTCGAAATGCTCTCACACGGTCATGCGTATACAGCCTCTGCCAGCGAAGTCCTACTCACTGCCATCTCGGGGCGGGGGTGTTGTTTACGAAATCGAGAGGACGAAAAGCGAATGTCCAGCGCTTTAACCGGATCACAAACCAATGGTGCACATGGGCTCCAGTATCCTGCGGGAACAAAAGCCGTATGAACCAATTATTGGTCACCGGCTTCCATGGGACTGCATCTCCTTACGGACAGCCCATATCCCGTGATCACTTTGCTAGTTTATTTTGGGATGTACATGGAGCACTTCTTGAGTTTACAGTGTAGGCTTAGTTATGTTGAGAAACACTTATGTGAGTCTTTTAGCTTTCATTCCTAGCTAACAGATAACGGTGACCGTCTTCTACAGTTATGCTCAAATATTTATATAGGTTACACTGCCATCACTCATCTTGAAGAGTCCTGTCTTTTTGAGATACATTCTAGGTCTCCGACCAAGCCCTAATGATAGCACTCATTTCTATCCTTTTTACTGGATGTCGAAATATCCTCTTAGATATCTCAATTTGATGCTGAGATTGTCCAGGATCTATGTACAAACAAATGAATTATGCATATGGTCGGTTATTAAGAAAAAGCGTATCCTGTCTTAGCCTAATATGATAGCAACCGATGGTTAGATACCCTGAATGACATGGCTCAAAATCGTTTGCAATTGCGCAGGTGCATTCACTCTTTGTGTTCTCCTAGATTCTAATCTTCTGAATTCTCCATGTCCCTTTTTTCCTCTTTCCAAATTTATTTCACTGGACTATACTCTTTAAATAACATCTCCAAACCCTAATTTTCCCTATTACTGCTTATACTCTTGCTACCTCTACCACTACGGGATTTGAATCGACAACTGCATCTCTGTGCTAAGGTGGTGTGGCAACTCGAACTGATGTACGTACGTACGAAGTTCTACGTTGTTACTGACTGACTGACTAATATGATTTATTAACAACTGCAAATACGGCAGTAACAAACTGGTTAAGTTATTTTATAGTCATTTGTAGTAAATAGCAGTTTAAAGTAAAATAGACGGGTATTGCGTCACTAACAAATTTGTCTAAATTTATCAAAAGGTTTCGCAAATCGAAAATAATTACAGCTGTACAATTTTAATTAATGAAAATGATGAGTAAGCTCTTCGTTAAATTTCTTTCATTTCGCCTAATGACAAAACGAACTTCTTATCATTGTTTTTAAAATATTCAATATTGCTTGACTTCCTTTGTGATAAATTGTTGGAATTCTGATGGAAAGTCATGATCAAGGGAGTTCTGGTATATCTGAAGTCAAACACTCGTCATCAATGTCATTTGATGTTCGTTACGGAATATCGCTTATTAATTAACGTCCGGAATGGATAGAGTTAGATGCCAAATTAATTTTTCTGAGATTTAAAATTTCGTCATAAGATCTAAAGCTGCTAAGTGTGCACTCGTGAATAATCATGTCCTTGAACAAAAAATTTGTCCAATGCCCCCTAGTTTTTATTAATGGTCCAATTGAATTCAGTCCTCAACGTATAAACATATGAATTAATCTAATCTTTCCAAAACCTCTGTATGAAAAATAGAAACTCTACTTGCAAAAAGCAAGCATTCTAATTTTAAGGATATTTTTGAAAATACTTGACATGTGACTGCTTTTGTTCACGTGTTCAATCCGTAATATTCACTCTTTTTCAAAAAAAGAAAATGAAACGATTTATTTTTAATCATATTAAATTTTTAGAGATCCTTACGTAACTGTTGTCACAAGTTTGGCACTGGAGCATACAAATATTTTAGGCAATACCATTGCTGAAATAGCTTGGGCTAAAGCAGGGATTTTTAAGGTAGTCTTCACTATTATGTTTTTGATGTACTGTGCAGTCATATTAAGGAAATGTTATTTCTTTTTTAACATAAAAATTTGAACTTATGTAGGAAGATGAATAGATATTTAAGTGTCTGCTCAATAACAGAGTTAGAAAACGTGGTTTTGCAAATTCCTGAATGACGTTTCTGACGGTTTCGCTGAAGTATTTATACGTGGTTATTCTTGTAAATAAATGTGAAAAGACTTAAACACCATAAGATTTTGGTAAAGACATGTATCCATCTTAGCTGTTACTTTTCACATTATCAGTAAGTCAGTAAAGCGCAACATGTAACCTGGTACATATATGAATCGGTTCAAGTTGCCACATCGTATTAGCATAGCGAAATGAAATTGTTAATACAATTCCACCATTAGCTTGGATAGTCTACCTATGCTCTATACACAGATTGTGATCATGTTGCAAGATTCGCAACAAAAAATAAAAAAAGCCAGATCCAAAAAGAGATATATTAGACGTAAACACTAGCAGTCCACTCAAACAGGGAATCCAAAGTGGAAATCGCCAATGGAAAGGAATTCACACATTAAATAGTTAGCAAGTTGAGGGCCTATCTACCTGCGTTTGGTAACCAATTACATTGTGCTTCTACTAGCCACACATCACATCATTGTTTTGTAGGCCTCATAGACCCTATTAATTCTCATTATTAAGTTTCAATCTATAATTTGAGTTGTGTTATGAGGATAAGAAATTCGCAAGAACAATCAATAATATGGTCAGCCAGTCAGTCAGCTACAACGTAGGACCAGGCACATATGTGCATCGGTCCAGGTTGCCATACCGCATCAGCACAACGAGATGAACACCGGATTCATAGCAGTGGTTAGATCAAAGGTGGTAATATATAAGAGAAAGATTGCATATAGTACAAGAAGAAAGAATTGGTTCGTAGAAAGAAAGATATGAAGTGATTTTAATCTCTTAGTTTAAGGGAAGACAGGGAGTGTATACACCGACGCCATTGTGATCGACTCTGAGCCATGTCACCAAGAGTCTCCAACCATTGGTTACGAAAGTCACACGGACCCCAACCAAGTAGTCTGCATTTACCAACATGGCTCAGACTAGGAGTTAATGTCTTCAAGCACTGATGCCACGTTTTGGTTTGGCCGCCCCTAACTTTCTTCCAACCATCCCGAACACCGGTTAGCATTGCACGTCGTGGTAATCGGTGTTCGGGTATACGTAACACGTGGCCCGACCATCTCAGTCGATGAAGATTCACAACCTCATCAGCTGATTTACCATCATTCCCTAATACCCTGCGTCTAACCTCACTATTACTTACCCGGTGATCCCAGCAGATGCCAGCAATATTTCTAAGGCATCTGTGGTCAAATACTAGTAACTTACGGGTGTCTTCCACTCTTAAAGGCCATGTTTCGCTGCCGTAAAGTAAGACAGAACGGACTGCCGCGCAGTATACTCGTCCTTTTATTGATAGACGGATATCTCGCCTTCGCCATAGGTGACGTAAGTTGGCAAAAGCCAAACGAGCTTTTCGAATCCGTGCTGAGATTTCGTCAGACACCAACCCAATAGGGCTGATCAGACTTCCAAGATAAGTGAAGTTGTCGACGCGTTCGACTACTTCACTCCCTATCCTTAGTTCAGGTGTTGACGCAGACCAGTCCTGAAGCAACAACTTGCATTTAGAGGGAGAGAAGCGCATCCCAAACATTCTGGCATTGTTGCTTAGTGCTACCAAAAGACTGCATTTTGTCAGCGTCTTCGTCAAACAGGGCTATGTCATCTGCGTATTCTAAGTCGATAAGTGGACCTCCTGGATGGAGATCAATACCCGAGAATTCAGTCGACGAGAAAGTTATTTCCATCAGTAGATCTATGATGAAGTTAAACAAAAATGGGGAAAGTGGACAGCCTTGATGGACACCACTTGAGGTTGCAAAAGTAGATGACAGTTCGCCATAACCTCTGACTCGACTAGTAGTGTTCGAGTAAAGAGCCTTTACAAGGTTTATGTACTTCTGTGGTACGCCTTTCAATGACAGACACTGCCACAGAATCTCGCGATCTACAGAGTCAAATGCTGCTTTTTAGTCGAGAAAGACCACCATTGTCGGACGCCGATAAGTATGCCTGTGTTCTAGAATCTGACGAATGGTGAATATGTGGTCGATGCAGTCATGACCAGGTCTGAAGCTAGCTTGGGTCTCTCGTGTTTGCAGTTCACGAGTCTTAGTTAGGCGTCTGATAATTATCGAAGCTAGTATTTTAGATATTATATTAGTTAAACTAATCCCTCTGTGGTTGTCACAGGATGATTTTGACCCTTTCTTATATATTGGGACGATAAGTGATTGTGACCAGTCAGATGGGATAACGTCTAACTCCCAGATCTTAGCTAGAATATTAGTCAACTTAATCGCTAAAATTGAACCACCATCCTTAAAGACCTCTGGAGCCAGTCCATCTGGACCAGCTGCCCTTCCTCGTTTCAGATTAACTATAGCCTTTTCAACTTCAACTAGAGTTGAGGGACTTACTTCAATGTTCCATTCACACTGTCTGGGAATGGAGGGTAGTTGTAGAGTCGCTGAAGGCCAGCTGAACTGTTCCCTAAAATGTTCCGCCCATCGTTCTAAACGTCTGGACTGGGAGCAGATGAGAGTATCATCTTTTTCCGAAATAATCTCACTTACACTTGACTTACTAATTCCAGTTTCTTTTATTAGTCTGTAAAGCTGTCTTGTGTTCCCTATAGTCGCCGCCTTTTCCATCTCTTTTGCTTTCATTGCCCACCACTGCTCACGGTCGTTTCTTAGACTTTTTCTTAACCTAGATCTGATTTGTTGTCGCTCTTTATCATGTTCGGAACCTGATGGGACGAGTTTGCGAGAATCCATCAGTGTGATAGACTTTGAAGAAATCCAATGGTTCTTTGTAACTCTGTGATTTAAGTCGCCGATAGATGTCATTGCTGTTTCCACAGCTGCTTGTATGGCTTTCCAAGCAACAACTGGGTCAACCTCGTTTTCAGAACTACCTAATCGTGATCTCAGTTGTTCCTGGAACCTACTTTTGGTTTCCTCGCTACTCAGTTCGGTTCTAATGGGTCTTTTTAGTGTGGCTTTTTTGCGTCCAGTGAGGCGCAAGCAGATGTGTGCCCGTATTAGGGCGTGGTCGGAGTCCAAGCAGGTACTCCAGAATGAGCGACAATCTTCTACCGACCCTCTCCAACGGTGACTGATGGCAATATTGTCTATTTGAGTCCATCGTTGGTTTGTTGTAGGGGGTCGCCATGTTAGACGATGTCTCTCCTTATGCTTAAAATTTGTGTTTGCTAAAAATAAACGATTGTTTGAGCACAGTTGCAGCAGATGGTCACCATTATCTGTTCGCTGTGTCGGAATACTAAAATATCCACCTAAATGCCTTTCTGTTTGGTTTAAGCTACCTATCTGAGCATTAAAGTCACCCCCTACGAGTACTATGTCTGAACGTTTAGCTTTCTGAAGAAGTTCAGAAAGCTTTCTGTAAAATTCATCTTTCACATCATCTGAGCTGCAGTCAGTGGGAGCGTAGGCAGAAACGACGAAAAGGCAACGACGTGTGTCCCTATCCTTCCGAGTTCTTACGGAGCTGTTTAACCGAACAGCACATAGACGACTGTTGACGGGGATCCACTCTAGCAGTGCTTGTTCCGCCCTCATGCTTAGTGCCATGCCTACACCTGCCAGTCCACGAGAGCTGACCGTCGTGTCACCAGATACACGGAGGGTGTATCTCGTTGGCTCTCTGTCTTGCCGAGGTGAGGTCAGGTGAATGCCCACACTGGGATCCTGTATGCGTGTTTCAGAGACACAGCATACATCAATGGAAAGAGACTCTAGGGTTTTAGCCATGGAAGCCTGCTGACCGATTTGACATAGGGTGCGTACGTTGAAGGCTCCAATGTGTAGTTTGGAGCGGGGTTTCAGTAGACCTGGGACAGAGTTTTGCGCACTAGAATCGTTGGCTATGGTGACACTTGAGGAGGAAGCCGAAAGAGGAAGTTTAGAGTTGAAAGTCGATGTAGGAGGAATAATAGGAATTGAAGAGGAAGGTTGATTATGAATACAGTAGTCTCGAGTGCTGTTAGAGGTATGAGGGCGGTTATCGCTTCCCGGTTGCCCACACCGAGGAAGGGTTCTTCTGGAGGTACCTGAAAAGGAAGTTGGATTAGAGGTGGTGACCGCAGTGCCCAAGGGACAACTGCTTGAGGCCGGTCGTGCACGGCCTTTTCGTGGGAGGTTTTTGACGTGTTAGCTCCATTCTTCAAATGGCCTTACCACCGGAGACGGAAATCCGTGGGGTAAGGTGAGGTGTGCATTTTAGAGTCGACCTTTTCTAACCCCACCCCTCCTTGTGGGAAGGCAGCATCGCTGTCATGCTGGTTGTCTGAAGGAAACACCTTACTGCTGTCACACCTCTCTACAGTCAGCAGTACGACTTCGCCTTCGGACCTTGGGTTTGTTGCTTTTAGTCTTACCGCTCTTCAACCGACCTGTCTGACATGGTAGGACCTTGAGGAACGGTTGTTCCAGCCAGTATAGCTCGGTTGCTTCATCACGATAGGCAAGCCCGACCACCACGTCAAGGTAGCAACAACGGTCGGGATCAATAATATGGGCTCAATATATTTCAAACAATCAGGTTACGTATTCACTTGTCTGGTTATTTATTTGAGAAATAAACTTTAAATTAGACAGAATTTCAAGAATAGCAAGGATGCAAAAAATACTCTACTCCCATCACCCTTAATATTATCAACATTATCAGGATAGACTTCATACTCTTCATTTCATTTCCTATTTTACACTGAATACCAACTGTCTGTGATTCTGGCAGTTAGCAGTAGAATTGCTTTATTAATAAATAGTGCAGATTTATTACAGCCTAATTGTTTAGTTTTGGCTTAACGATCAAGACGTTCGACATGGAACTAATAGGTTACTCTTTCGAACCCCACTCCAATTAATTCGGTTTAAGCAACTAGTTAGTATCATTAGCACTTATATCTAGAGTGTGGTCCAAAGTATACGAACCTCTGTACTGGTAAATGAGTTAACAGTAAGTATGAAAAGGTTTACTTTCAAGGTTTGTCTAGGTACAGAAAACAAGATTATTTTCAGGTTTACGTGTAATATTAATACTCAGGGAGTTTCTGGAGATATGCCAAAGTTGCTAGCAATCATTCAGTCAGGTTATAATACGTAATCGACCATTTTTATGAAATATTCTGGGAACTTTCTATTGAATGTTGTTTGGGTGACGTACTTTCAACTTTATTTCCCAACTTTTCAAGACTTTAAATAATTCTCTGGTAGTTCTAACAGCAATCGAATCCTAGATTTGTATTTTGAAATGTCTATTGCCTATGAAATCCAAGTTTTGATCGAATGCTAATTTTATTTATTTCTAATTCTACCTAACTTTTTATGATGTAAATCTTCAAAAAGACTGGTTCTATAGCATTAGTCAGTCATGGGCAATCAGAAGAAGCAATGCATAAATTTGTTGAAGAAGCTGAACTTGTTAAAGTAATTGTACACGTTATGTTTTTTTTTAAATATAATTTAAATGTGCTATCTGTCTACCCATTTAAAATGAACAGGAAAAGTAGGTTAGTTTACTACATAAAACTAGTTTTTTCTCTGTTCATCATGAACTAACATTCCGTGACTTACTCTCATAGTTACAAAACAATTTTCAAATCAGTGTTATTTACATTTTTAAGTATATACTCATGTCCTTCTGAATAACTGGATTATTTTAATTAGAAAAAGTTCATAACTTAGATTATCGTAATTGGTCTTATTGTGGCTGTCAATAGAATTCATGAAGAGAGTTTTGTCTTATTCGGGACTCTCCTCTCAATTGAGCTACTGAACACAAATTACCACTGACTTTTTCAATGCGCGTCTATTTGTCACTAAGCGTTCGTAATTCGCGGTTGTTACTCAGGACTGCAGTTGATCGGTCTCTGTTGACATTTTTAGATCCTGAATATGCCTGCCTTGATAATTCTATAGAGTTACAAGTTTTTCGTAATCGCTAAATTATGAAATCCTCATCATAAACTAACTAATCTTTAGAATAATATTTGTTCAATAGGTAATAATGTATGAAGAAATATGAAGGACAGCAAATAATTTATTGCAAAAACTGATAAATTTGCTTTCAACTATTCTATGTAGAAAACTTTTTTATGGAACATCATATTCCTCGAACTTAACCGGAAAAAATTCAAAGTCCTGAATGTGTTGTGTAATTGAATTCTAAAAAATAATTACAAACAATTTCTTTTCATTTGATTCATCACGTACAAATCCAGGTACTGGGGATTTACCTCTACACTTTAGTTGAAAGAATGCAATAACAGTACTTGATTACTCAAACTAAAGTAAATAAGAAGACGATTATCAGAACTATGTGATATATTAGCTCAATACATTTCGAATAATGAAACATGCCATAAGATTTATCTTAACTCGGCTTTTGTGGTGTTGTACAAAAGTGTAAAAGGGTGTATACTAAGATTTATTGAACCCTTAGCCATACGGAAATTTAAACCCTCTTTGTGTATTCAAAAAACACTTTATTCTCACCTTAAAGCTACCTTAGTAATATTAGCTTATTATCCAGAGTGATAAGGTTTCAAATTGTTTTCATATTATTTCTTTATTATCTTTGTCTCCTCTTACCCTCCATTTCTAGTCTAGTTGATCTTCTATTTTTATATGTTTTCAAGTATATGTGTGATACATTAATATCACATAGTTCTGATCATATTCATCTTCTTATTACTATTGAAATTTATCAAAGGGACTAATTAGTATAAAGTAGATCAAATAGTATTCGAATCAATAATCGAGTGGTTTTCAAAGCAAATACTTTCATCATTTACTTTTGTTGAATAGTAATTAATAAAAACTTTACTAAAAGTATGGTCGGGATCCGCGCGACTATCGTAACCAGTGGTTGGAGACTCTGGGTAACATGACTCAGAATCAATGTATACGCTCTTTGTGTTGCCTTAAACCATGAGCTTAAAATTACTTTATACCTTTCTTTCTACAAACTAACTCTTTCTTCCTTCTTTTATATATTTCTACCATTGAAGTGTAGCCACTTCTATGAATTTTGTATTCACCTTGTTATGCTAATGAGGTATGGCAACTTGGACCGATGCATATATGTGCCTGGTCCTACGTTGTAGCTGACTGACTGATGTAATTCCATGACAATTTCGATGCACTCCACTCAAGGTGCACATATACTATGAGAAACCAATTAATTACCTTCACTAAAATTATTAACAGGAAAATGCCAACCTTTCATAGACAAACTAAGCAAAGTTCAACTTTCTATGCATTAGTCTACTTTTTATTTATCTGAATACATGATCGAAATGTTGTGTCTTCTCACTTCTATTTTGTATTTTTGATTTCCAGTGTCCATTGTATGTTGCACCTACGTTAGATTCACTATTGACTACAGAGAATATGACTGAGTCGTTTAAAGATATTTTTGACAATATGAATACCATACCTAATAGTCAATTATTAAATCTTGCTTTAAGTTTAACTACAATAAATTATTGGTTTGCTAAATTACATGGAACTACTAATAATGATAACGTTACAAATATTGGTTAGTTATTACATTATTTTCTCCTTAATTGTATGTTCTTTTTTTCAAAAGTTTGTTTATGCTGATTAATTGTTTTGTTAAAGTTTAATGGTTCTCGTTTTTGAAAATTTGTCTGGTTTTAATGGTTATTTCGACTGCAAACAGAATTATTGGATGTCAATGATGTCAGATGTTGAGATAGTGTTATATAATCTTACTTTTACCAACTTCCATCACTTGCGTTGTGAACAAGATGTTTTTTTACCGACCGATCATACGGCAAGTACTTTACGCCTCAGTCTGCTCTCTACTAATATACTGCTGCTGCGAAATAGAGTCTATGAAAGTAGATGTGTGTAGACTTCAAGTATTTGATTACACTTATTTTCGAAACATTCCCCGTATATAATGTGACCACATAGAGTGGAGTGGTGAGGATAGGCTAAGAGTACTGGGTAATCAAAGTAAGTCCATTATAAAGCCTTTATCAGCTGTGATAGTTAGAACATGCGTTACACTCTGTTGACCGAAATAGGTTAAAAAAAATCAGAACAGGACATCAGTTCATTGAGTCACACTTTTAAAACAATCTATTTTAAACCTTGTCACGAAATTAATTTTAAATCAGTTACTTCTATCATATAGACAGCCTAAACAAACTGTACAATAAGAAAAAGCTCAAATAATTGAGTTTTTCCACTGATCAGATATTTTGTGACAGATTTCATATTATCTCCATTATCTCATGAAGTTAAAAAGGTATATATTAAACATGAATTTCAGTGAACAATATGACAGACAGATGTAACACAATTTCCAAGTATAGGTTTAGACACTCAAATTTTTGTGTAACAATTGATGGTACTACTCCATTGTCCAGACTGAAGTAGAGTGGATCGCCGTTCGAATCTGCTACCTAATGATTGAAGGGCAAGCTATCACTCCACAACAATAGAAAATAAGCTGGAAAGTAATGGTGTGCCGATATAGAAGGAGATGTTAGTCTATGAATCATACTGAACTTATGTACTAGCATAATGTTTCCATTGCAGCTTTCCTGCTTCCCCTCAACAACTGTCATAGTCGTCAACAGGCTATGGTAGATTATTTTCGAGAAATCACGTAAAGAAATCAGAATTAGTTGATTTTTGTTATGTGCATTCAAAATGCTCACTTAATTCATAATAAATCTTGTTACCCTTAATTTGTTGGGCATGATTTGGTAGCTTGCAGAACACTCGGTTAATTAAACCGTGATCCATGTATTGTATCAAGTATGTTATGAATTCCTTTCTTCAGCACTTTACTCCTTGTAATTCTTCCATTTTTTTGTTCCAGGTTTACAGCCGACATCTGAATGGAAACCGAGTTCAACTGTTTTATTTAGTAAGTTTTCACTCTTTAAGAAAACCGAGAAAACATGTGTCGTGCTGTAACTTTAGGTGTTCCGAAGTGATCAGGAGATTTTCTGCTATTTGTTATTCATCAGCAAGATTTACTTGCAATCTTCACGCAAAAGATTATTGTATATGCGACATTGGTTACTACTCAGTGACCGGTTCGTATAAATATCTTAGTTCTACAGGATGTCAGCCACAGCATTGATGACTCAGTGATAACGCTTGGTGATGCCGGTTCGAATCGCATGATGCCTACCAATTCGCACCGTGATAGTGAGAAGTTGCTGGTAACACGGAAACGAAATTCAGGGTTTTCTACTGATTTGACTTCTGACCATATGACATCTAAAGCACAGTGCATGCGATATTCGGTCACCTGCATAACTACACACATTTATTTATTTTAACACATAAATATTGGTACAAGGGGGCACTGAATATATATGCGCCACACAAAACAATCAGAATGAGAAGAGAAAAAAAGAAGGTGAGAAGCGTAAAAGAAAAAAAGAACAATAACGACCACAGATTAGTGTAAGGTAGTGTAGTAATAATAATAATGGAGGAAACGGAAAGACGCAACCAGAAGAATTCTTTCAGTTAAGGAAGGTCCAACCACTTGTTATGAAGAAGGTGAGAGAAGGTTACAGCAGGATCGCCACTGGCTTCTATTCTGAGCCATATCTGATAACCTCTCTAGCCACTGTGTTGCACCATCTCTAGGACCCCAGCCAAGTTGTCGTGAAGGACCAACAGAAGCCAGCCCTTTGCAGCTTTCTTTCATACCACGATACCATTTCATACACTGACCACCTCTCCGCTTCTTCCAACCAGTCCCGGCGTCCACAAATGATGCACGACGTGGAATTCTCTGGGACGACATTCGTCGAACATGTCCAAGCCACCGAAGTCGATGTTTTAAGATGGTGACACCAATTGCATTATCGTCTCTGTGCCCGAACACACGATGCCGAACCTCTGCATTACTGACATGGTGTTGCCACTGGATGTCAGCAATCCTTCGGAGACAACGATGATCAAACACAGAAAGTCGTCTAATATCCTCAACTCGGAGAGGCCAGGTTTCACAAGCATAGAGCAAAACTGTTATCACCGTCGCTTTGTAGATCCGACCTTTTACAGCCAGACTATCATCAGGAGGGCGCCAAAGGTGGCCCAGATTGGCATAAGCCTCTCTGGCTTTCACTATTCGTGCATTGATCTCATCACTCACACCCCCACCAGCACTTATGCAGCTACCCAGATACACGAACTTCTCGACTACTTCTATCTGCTCACCATCCAGGGTGAGTACAGGATTAGAATCCTGCCAGTCTTGTAGAAGTACTTTGCACTTCGAAGGTGCAAAGCACATACCGTACCTACGGACATTGATTGCCAACTGATTAAGGGCGGATTGCATGTCTTGGGCATTATCACACAGTAAGACACTATCATCCGCATACTCAAGGTCGAGAAGTTTTTCTCCAGGCAACAGATCCACACCACCATTACTTACATTCATCAGCGCTGTTCCCAGAATGTTATCGATGGCAAAGTTGAAGAGGAATGGTGAGATTGGGCAACCCTGCCTAACCCCACTACTCGAATGGAACAATGGAGAGAGTTGGTTGTATGCCCTCATTCTGCCTGAGGTGTTTGTATATAGGGCCTTTAAGATGTTAATAAACTTCTCAGGCACACCCTTCTTCAATAGACAATCCCAGAGAACAGTCCTGTCCAACGAATCGAAGGCAGCCCTGATGTCAAGAAACACTACGATTGTTGGCCTGTGATAAGTATGACGGTGTTCTAACATTTGGCGGAGGGTGAAGATATGATCGATACATCCTCGACTAGAACGAAACCCAGCCTGCTCCTCGCGAGTCAATCTTTCTCGGATTTTGGACAATCCACGAAGTATGACGGAAGCCAACAGCTTGGACGCAATCGGAAGTAGACTTATCCCCCGATAGTTGTTACAAGAACGACGTGAACCCTTTTTAAAGATAGGGACAACTATCGACTCATTCCATGACGTTGATACACTCTCTAGTTCCCAAACCTTTGTAAACAACATCGTCAGTTCCTTAGTCAAAAAGTCACCACCATCTTTAAAAAGAGCCGGAGGTAAGTCATCTGGGCCAGGTGATTTGTAACGCTTCAAGAGTTGGAGTTCCTTGCGGACTTCCTCCTCATTTGGTGGATCAGTCGTCACCGGCCATGGAGGGCAGGACAGTCTGACCGATGTTGCCGGAGCAGCAGGCCAGTTGAACTGCCCTTCGAAAAATTCTGCCCATCGTTCAAGACGTCGATGGATGTTAGTGATTGGCATCCCATCATCCTCGCAGATTGTTTCACTCACACCAGACTTCTTGCTGCCAGTGGCTCGTATGAGCTGGAAGAGCTTCCAGTAGTTACCAGATGCAGGTGCTGCTTCTAGATCATTAGCACGCATCGACCACCAGGCTTCTCGGTCCTTACGCAAGCTTTTCCCGATTTCCTTGTGTAACATCCTTCGTTTTTGGTCAAACTCACGGTCACCCGGAGTAGACCGACGGGCTTCGATGAGTTGTAAAGAGCCTGACGAAACCGAGTGCTTATAAGCAGAACGTTTAGCGAAGCCGCAAGCGGCTTTACTCGCCATCGTGAGGAGATGCAGTCCCATGGTAGCCGGTGACCAACGATTGGTTCATACGCCATTCGTTCCCGCAGGATACTGGCGCCCATGTGTATCATTGGTTTGGAATCCACTTAATGCACCGGACATTCGCTTTTCGTCCTCTCGATTTCGTAAACAACACCCCCGCTACGAGAAGACAGTGAGTAGGACTTCCCTGGCAGAGGCTGTATACGCGTGGCCGTGTGAGAGCATTCCGAGAGAGAGGGCGGGCCCACCCCACTCTCTGCCATATCAGGGCATTTGGGGGCCTTCAACGGTCCAACTGTTGTGTTACTATAGAAAGAAAAGCTACATCAACTCTATTCGAACCATATATGATACAACTGGTTAGTAATAGATATTGAGATGAAAATGGGAATTGATTTTTCTATTGAACAAGTAGAGCGTAGTCTTCAATTATCGTGACAACAGAAAATCGATAAAAATTACGTGTATATAATTTCAATATAAGTAGGACCACCATACATGTAATACAAAGTAAACTAGCAAAATTCGGTAACCTGCTTTTCGAGTATGCTGATAGACACTGATTTCTAATTACAGTAGCGATTATAGTATGTGAAAACTAATAAACTTACAAATTCACAAGGAAGCAGTTATTTTCCATCTAACTATTTCAGTGAATTGTTCTAACGTATCACTTAAACTAGTACAAATTGCTATATACGTTTAAATATAGAAATAAATCACTATAGTAGGATCTTGCAAACGGCATAGTTAATTAACCTTAAACGTCATCAATAGCTGAGAAAATGTGCTTTCGAATATAACAGCCCATAATTACGCAAAAAGGTTTTTCGTTATGAAAATTAAAATGATTTTGAGTCAGAAATTATGTATAAAGAGGTCAATATTGCCTGAAGTTTGTATGTGTTCAACCAGACATGGCCGAAAACTGTTAAGACGAGGATATTTGTAGGATGGATGTCAACTATCTATTAAATGTTGTTATAATAGCTAATTAGTCTAGAGGTTAAGCGATATGTATATTTACTGTGGGCTTTATTTGTTCCAAAGATGCGTTATCCGCCCGATGGCCTGGTCGATGGCAAATTGTAATTCGAAAAAATATAACTTATTATCTGGATGGTGCACATACTGTAGAAAGTTTACAAGTGAGTATAATTTGGATAAATAAAGGAATTGTAATTTTTGCATGTAATTAATTGTGTAATCACCATGATATGTACTGTTTGTGTTTTACAAATTTTTTAGTTGTTTTATTGAAATGATTGAGCTGCATACTAAACTTTTAATTGATGATGGCAAAGATTTGTAGCTCAGGTGGGTGATTTCGGTAGAGCATCAATAATCATCGAGTCACAGGTGGAAAATATTCAAAATGAATATGCCGACAATGATAAAGTAAAGGTCAATAATAGCCGATCAAGGTCGACAAGGCAAACTATCAGTCGTATGAGAAAGAATTCGAATAACTCACTTCTATCTGAAGTTTGTACTGATGATGTTCAGTGTAATAATGGAAATTTCACTATTAAATCATTCAGTTCAGAAGACGAAACTGTGCCAAAACTATCATTTTAAAAATTGTAAATAATGTATGCAAATCACTTCATCTTATGTAATTAGTGTAAGAATAAGGTGCACGTAAAGTTGAACACTAAGTATATATATATAAACTCAAACCATTTATTTGTTCAATAACTGTATTCATAAACAAATCGATTGTGACTAGTGAAAATAACTCAGAATAAAGTGGTTTTAATGAAATATTTTTTTTATAGATTATCACACATTCTTATTGTATAACTATCAAGTAACTAGATTACTCTCTTTCTTTCAAAGCCACTTTTTTATTCGTTTATATTTAATTGTTATTTTTCATTTTATGGTTTGATGTGGTCTTGTCTGTCTGCATATAAACCGCATCTGCCTAATTTAGAGACATATCAGGAGTTGATTTCTGCTTCGAGACTCAAAACAGGGCATAGAGAGGAGCTACGGAGTCGTGGACGAATAAAAACTTGGTTGTGTCAGCTTGAGGTTAGTAGTGCTGGTAGGGCGTGTAATTGGCCATGTCAGAGACACTAAGCTATAGAGTAAATGATGGGCGCGAAATAGACGAAATTAGGGTCGCGATTCTGATTGTTGACTGGGCACGTGGTCTTGTTCAGCGGCCACAAGACATAATAATGACGATTAATTATATCGTGTAAATTAAAACGACTATAACTGTAGTGTTATAAAAACTAGTAAATTCATTTGTTTACATAATCTTTTTAAACACCACTGCTTGCAATCTTGCATCATATCGCTTGCCACACTACCAAATAGACGTTTTAATCAGTGAATAATAATGAGTTTGAAAATTTTTTAATGTTTATGGGGAGTATATATATACTTTGATAACAACACTGAATTCGCATATTTATCTTATCTTTATTATCCATTTGACAGGAAGCAGTTTGTGGAAAATCATGGAAATGTTATATAATGATAGGATTATTAGATACTAGTCGTGTAGGATGTTAGCTTGATGGTTAAATCACTCGACTTTTAGTTATAACTTTGAACTCTGCCCACCCGATTTCGATTTGAGCATCCATTAAGTAATTCCAGCCATGAAACTAGATGTATAGTTCATTTTAGGATACATAAATCTGTACTTCGTAAATAAGTTACATGTTTATTGCAGCGATCCAAGCAGTTTAAAATTTTTGGCCTACAGTTTTTTGGAAATGGTAGGATTTTCATAGATTTTAAATCACGGGCTGATACTTAGATAATCATTGGTAACTTGGAAACACTGGATGGCCATTGCATCTTAGTATAGAATCCTTCACCATCTGTTCTCTTTCAAATCATTTGTTATATATAACTACTGAAATTGTTTATGATAGTTATCGAAACGATGAACTATTATCTGACTATTCAGTCTCTGAGATATTGTCGAAAATAAACTGAATTGGAAAGTTTTTTTAATAGAGTCAGACCGAGGAAAGTAGTGAATTCACAAAAGCTTCACCACTAAGGTCTTCACTCCTACATGATCCCCGATCTGTTTATTAGTTAGTCAGAAAAATGATAATCAACTAAGATCACGCAGGAATAGAGGAAATTGGAATATATATGCATATTCAGTGAACAACTTACTTCCAGATAACCATGAATCAAATCTCATATCGATCGGACAATCTACTAGCCACTTATAAAGAAATCCTAGTTACAAATTCATTTTCTTAAATCACATCCTATTAATACTGTCTAGGCAAATAATAAAAGTTTTATAATTAAGCCAACTAGCTCAATGAACACTAGCAGGACTCTTTACCATCTCCATATAATCATAACATAGATCGATGATACTTCATTTGTTTTGTTAAGAAGAAAATAGTAATTGAATAAATCTTGAAATCATTGTTTGTTCAATATATTTATATGTCTATTGGTGAAATTGTCTACGTATCTTCAGATATTACTTTTCGTTAGACTTTCCTGTGTAAATATTCAGCGGTAACTTAATAGTTAATATATATTGGTATTAACCAACTAGATGGTAGGTTTTCAATTTTCTCTCCACTTTCTGTATTTGGTCATCTTGTAACTTAACTGTTATTTCTTCATACTTCAATTCACGTTCTCACAGATCACTCATAATGTGTATTTTGTACTGTTTGATCTTTCTTCTTCTTGTCAGTCTGCAATAAAATGGTTTCAGAATGAGAGCTTTGCTTCGAATAATAACAGGTATGGTTTCGTACATTTTTTAAAATGTTGAATACCATTTTATTCGTTTTATTGACGAAAGTTTTTCTTGCTCATTTACTCTACCCTCTGGTCGTCATAATCTAATATTTCCGTCAGTCAATCAAGCGCAACGTAGGACCTGGTACGCGTGTAAATATTTCCAAGTTGCCATACCCCATTAGCACAGGGGACTGAAGTTATTGGAATCTTACTTTACTTTTGTGACTAAACTAATACCATACTGCACAATTATTGATCAATATGAATAAATCTGAGTGTATAAGTGTCCAAGCCAAGTTCAAATCTATTGGTTTGAAAAATTCTGGACATTCGATAAAGAATGTGTTATTATTTGTATTTTTCGATGAGTGAAAAAACAAAATCTTCTTCACTGACTTCTCTCTATCACTTTGTTAAATGTATTAACGAAGTGATAGTAGACCACAATTTACGAAAATCTCAGTCCATTTATGTGCTGATTTGATCAAAATTCTTTCATATGAAGTAATTTTGAGCTTTGAATTAGTAAATGAATTCATAAAGATAAGAAATGAGCGTATGTTGTTAGATTTGATCCTCACACCCCAGCAATACAAAGTTATTAGTTACCTCCAGCCTTTTAAAAAGAACACTGATAACAGATGAAAAGGAAAGAAAAGAGAAACTAACTAGTACAATCAAAATTCTTAAAATGAATCGTGTATCAACTTATCAAACGGTATCATACACAACCTCATGTACCTCATGCAGTTTATTATTTCTTATTGAATTCATATAAACTTGTATCTTCCTCCAGATGTTTAATCGAATTCGTAATTAAACTAACATTTCTCTTATTCTGTTTGACCTTTATTCATTCTAATCATGAGTCTCATAATTTCATTTAGCGTATAAGCTGGTTCAAGTTGACGTTTCATATTGGTCATCTCAACACTAACAATTTATTTTATTTCACGAGTTTGTTCTATTGAAACGTAGGATAAATTTTTCTTTCTCTTTCGCTCCCTCTCTTTGTCACGTAACGTAGTTTTGCACTTATCTTAACATGATTAATTCCCATTCTAATATTCTTATTTGTTTGGTAGACGTCCTATACGAATTATTATTTTCACTGTAATTGGTCCACGAGATCCTGAGCCATTTTTAAAATGTTTACAAGTAAGAGTTTTTGAGTGTAATAATTTCTTTTTAGTTTTGTTATTTACACTTTGAATTTAATGTTTATTATTTACTATGGTAGTGGTGTGTGAATATTTTGTATCATTTCAAGATAATTTTCGGTTATGAACGTATATGATTTCAAGAGCTATTAACAAGCAGAGCGAACTGTACAACTGCTATGTTTATAGAGATCATGATATCATCTAGAACCGGCTAACGGGACGAAAGTTAGCAACACAACAACAGGGCAAACTAAGCAATTCCAGTGAGGGAGAAGGCCAGATTCAGCCAGGAGAAATATATATTCCACAATGGGCCGGAAGCACAAACGAACAAACACACAACTTATGCGTATATATATATATATATATATATATATATATATATATATATATATATATATATATATATATATATAGTACACAAATGTCCTTGGTAGACGTCACAATTTAGCGTACTAAAAGAGGAAACGGACCAACGACATCCAAGGTCCTTTCAGCTGGGAGATACAAGCTGAAGGTAAATGTGTGCGCTTTTGGCGCGAAAATGAGAAATTCCGATTTCCATAATAAAATTACAAAGTGCGTTCTTGGGATCTAGTATTTCCAACAACAACTGTATTGGTTCAGTTGAAAACTTTTCTTATACGTAAATACTTATGACTTTACATTATTCGAAACAGATCCTGTATCTAACATTCTATTGTCGAGCAACGAAATTGGAGTCCGACAGTCTACGTTTCAATTCAGTAGTCTTAAGGTATCTTCCTCGCTGGATGGCCATGTATTTGATCTTGTGTAGCAGGGTCGTGGTTGCTCACTGTTGAAGAAACCCGAATTATTAATTATAATCGTTGTTAATTTCCCCTTATTTTCTTAATCGCTTTGCTATTTCTATATATCATATTTCACCTATCAGGAAACGATTATGTCAAGCGCTTTGTCGGTGAAATGATTCCTTTTCTAATAGAATCATATCGGTTTTTTATTACAATGTGAATAATCTCAGTGATTATAAGTAGCCATAATTTGATTACAGGAATGTAAATTGGTGTAATTACTTATTCTTTGTAAAAACCTTATTTTCAATTTATAGATCATAGCTTCAAACTAAGATTTATTTGCTTTAGTTCGGTCAATTGTGTAGTAGCAATAGCACTCACACGAAAATTGTAGCTGAAGGCCAATTATCATACGTATGGAATAAGTTAATATCTTACTTACCCATAGTAACTCCTAGACCTTAATGACACATGCATTAATACAATTTCAATGACAGCTTTAGTTATTAGAAATTATTCATCTGATTCTTTGAAATGGATATTTACTAATATTCTCGGAAATTCTCCATCTGGATAGAATTTGTGGGAAAATTTCACATTTGTTTCCATAAATATTTGATATTCCAATCTCTTCGTAATAAAAAAATACCTATTCCAGGTCCACTCTATTGCAAGGAAATAATTAAATCTGGGAAAAATTTCTTTCACAAATTCTGACTTTGTATAGTTCATAATTCATTTGAGATTAAGGCTCCATCGTTAAAATTGACCTCACCACTAAGAATTTAACCGATTGATATAACTATTCCAGGCTGTAGTCTCAACTTAAGTCAACTGTAACGTTCTTATCTGTGGAACTTCGTGACTCAGTTTGTTAGAGGGATATAATTTGAATTAAAGCATGCTTCCTACTGGATTATATTGGGGGCACTCTGATTCGCTATTTCTTATCCAGTTAGCGCTAGTGGACACTTGGAGAAGACTAGAATTTTCTTACGGAAAAACTATAAATATACCAACGTCTGTCTTACTGTGATTCCTACTCCCATCCACCCTTTTTATTTGGAATATAATTACGTTCCTGCTCAACCGTGTTCTGATTTGGGGACTTGTCGAGTGGAGTAGTGTCCAAGAATACTAAGCAATAAGAGTAGCTGGTCGTAATAAGGGGAATTATAACACTGTTTTAAATTAAAACTAGGAACATCGGACTCCTCAAGAAACGCCTTAGCAGTCAATCATAATCAATGTAAAGGACACAAAAAATGTGTCTTAGCCCAAGTTACTATCCCACATCACCGATATGGTATAGAATTAACATAATGAATGGCAAGGGAGTAAAAATAATTGTACCGCCAACTACCTGCTTATGCCTATCATCTCTCGTGTGGCCTAGACCACCTATCAGGGATCTCCAACTAGCTTTGTGTTCGGTTCTACTTTCCAGTTGCTGTTCTTGATGTGTCTACAATTCCCAGCCTTAATTTGTTGCTTGATCTGTCTCTTTTCCTTTTGTCTTGGGGATTAGAATTTAGGTCTTTATCTTTAATGAAATTTGATTATTTCAGTAGTGTAATTTATTTACCTCCAGCATCTTTTCCTGATTTCCTCCTCAGGTGGAGATGGTTTGCTCTCTGCCACAGTAGATTACTTCTGATGATGTGTGGTCAAATGATCTGAATCATCTTGGGTAGACAGCTTTCGATAAATACTTGTACTTTTTTGATGACAGTTGTAGTAGTCTTCTAAGTTTCATTTTGGTACGATAGAACCGCCTTGATTTTCGTACTGAAAATTCTGATTTTGATATTGGCTGACACTTGTTTTAATCTCTAGATACCCTTTAATTGTAGGAATGCTGCAGTTGCTTTGCTAATTCATGCCTTCACATCTGCATTAGATTCTTATTTATCAGTGATACTGCTCAGGTACGTAAAAGTTCCCAACTCTACCGGAGCTTCTCCATCAAGTGTGTCACTGCCACTAACGGCAGTGGGAAATATCCAAAATTAAGAATCTGGTTCTAGAAAACGGAATAAAAAGGTATGTATGTAAGAGCACTGAAACTTAAGATTGATTGAAAGAAAAGAAACAAATGAGTCTACACCATTATAGGGATTAAAAATTGACACTCAACGTCTCCAATCACTAATTGAGGTTATTTTGAAGAAATCAACAAGGTAACCTGCATCTACTAACTTGGCCCAGATCAACCGTCACTAACTTTATGAACTGAAGTCACGTGTTGCTTCGACCATCCTTAGCTTTCTCTCAAACTATTCAGTTCTATTTAAATATTACACTTTGATATTCATGCAGTATATGTATGTGATAAGTAATGCAATCACTGTACACTTATATTATTAGATAATATATATTTCATGTTGCTAATTTTTGTTATTTTTCAGTCTTCCTCATTCGCATTCGATTTGGTTGTTTTTGCCAATCCTCACGATGGTCAATTTGGTAATTCTATCTAATCTACATTATTCTTAATGCTATCTCTTCATGAAACGTGAAGCAATTCTTTCTTTGTCGAGGCACTATCTAACGTGATTCTAGGAATATATGTGTAACTACTATGGAAGTGCGTAGATTTATCCCAGAATCGCATAATTTAGTACGAATCTGTGTAGATCTGAGGATTGTACGGTCTTTCAAACAAATTTATTTAGGCTGAATTCAATATTATAGTATTTTGTTAGGTATGATAAACTATCGAATAGGACTGTATTGTTAAATCTGTGCAGATATTCGTATACTGGCACGTAAGGTTTTCTTGTTACTTGATTATTTACTTCGATTAAATCAAGCTCCATTTTTTAAACTTTTGATATTCATTTTCCACATCTCATTTGCTTTTCAGACGAAATTTCTGTTTAAAATCATTATGTAAATATTAGATTCGTGGCATTTCATTGATTAAACTGGCTAGAAAATACTTAACGTATGTCCAGCCTCTATCTGGCTGGGTGTATTTTACTGGGGAACATTGGAAAATGAGGCGACCAAACCAAGACATGACAGAAATCCACTGAGTCATTGTCGATTTGTTTGAGCTGTGTGCTGGGAGATATAGCCTTGATGGTTAACATCTGTTTATTAGCCGTAATTTTTGGTTAACATTGCCAAAATTCGATCATCTCATAAATCCTGGGTTTCGTGTGATATTATTCATTTTTTTAATATCAGTCGTTCATCTCATAACGTGGTCGTTGCATTTACCTCACCACTGTAATCAGTGTTACTCTTTTCACTCCTCTACATTTGATACTGCTGTAAGCCAACCGGAACGTTGCACGCTTATCATAGTTAGATTGAATGTTCGTTGAAACAATGGTCAACGCTGACGCTAATACAACTGTACGTATCATATATATATACTCGGCTCTAGATCTTTCTATCCTATTTCGTTTTATTGTAGCCAAACTTCAGTAAAAGTACGTTAGTTCAGTAGCTTTCTCTGCATACAGAAACTTTGAGTGTTGTAATAGTGCTCCTTTCTGAGGCTTTTAGTCATGTACTAGTGAGTTCATCTGAGGGCAATCTTAGCCAAGTATAGCAATACATCAAGTCACTATAACTAGTATAATGGCTACTCGATTTCTGTACTAGTAAACTTTTCGTTTATTCCAATAATGAAATACTCGGGTATGACGAAATTGGATGGGATCGCTTTCTCTATCTTGAAGTTCCTACATATGATCGCTCATTTATAACCCCTTCTAAGCATGTTCTTCCTACTTTTTTAAAATGCTAACTATGTTTTTTACAGAGGAGAAGGTGTGATGGAATTCGTACGCTTAAGCCGGGCTAGTGGATACGAAGGACGCTCTCGGGGAAGTTGGAAAGTCTTGACTTGAAACCATTGTCCACATAGATATCAAGAGAATGAATGGTGTAGCAAATCGCTCCAGTCATTGGCTATCGTGGCACTTCGTCTCTTGATGTTGTCCCGTTAGATTTTGAACTGGGCGTTTAGGTCAAATGTTCAAAGTAATTTACTCTTAGTTAACCATCCATCTCGGTTTGGGTGTCCGATTAGTCTTCACATTAATATTGTATCAGTTCAACATTTATTTCTCATTAGTAAATTCTAGTTGATTAATAATAAATAGTAAATCGACTTTTTATTTATGTTTTCTAGAAATTCTTCCCAGTAAAGAGTCGCATGATGAATTATGCTTCAATATATGGCGTCAACTCGAATCGGAATCGAACACCGGTAGTAATTCTACATCACATTCAATTGCTTCAAAGCATGTCAAATCTTTATCTGCTTTTATAAAGTGGATGCAAAACTTGCAGCGTTTTTCTCTTCAGGCTTTGAAATATTTTCCGTGTGAATATATTAATTATGATGAAGCCGATAATACAACTTGCTGTGATGTTTTTGTCACTGGCAGTCTATATATGGTTGGTCGGATATTAAAGGTACACTTTTTGTTTACCGTTTTAAAAACATACCATTTATTTGTAACGCAATCAACGACAGACATGTATACCTTCTAAACTGTTATGACCTCAGTCTGTCCACTGGTTATGTTGTTAAATGTTTAGGAAAATCTGCTCTGGGACTAGTAAACGTCCTTGTGTATGCTAGGCTACCTAGTGTAGCCTTGAGACTGAATGCGTGAATTCGGTTGTGAATAATTTGGTTTCGCGAGTAGGAACTTTCCTATTAGCTGACTAATAATCTACTTTACAGACACTGATCAGTTGGTTGAAGAGGAGACGACTGTAGTAGATAACCTTCATATTAAAATTAGATGATCACGTTTACTCAAACGGTACATGCCTAATAACATAGACATCTAGGCCTCGACACAATAAATTGGAAATATAATTTGTCTAAAAAAAAATAAGGCAATTAAAGTAAAAATCAGGATACCAACCTCGATTTATTTACAATATTTTGGGAATAATGTATGACAGTGACGGTCTATAGATCAGCTGAAAATTTAAGGTTACAGGAATAGCAGAAACGCATAACTCAATCGTTTGTAATTACACATAGAAAACTGTGAGTTCTTATGGCTTGAAGAATAGTTTTCCTAGTTTTTCTCTATCGTTTATTTTCCTCATTATATTTTTAGTTGTGTAGATATATAGTCTCACTGTAGATTGATTATTTCACTAATACTATCTAAATTTGTGAGATAAAAAATGACCCTTGGCTTTTAAAAAGGTTTGCTAAAGCTCAGTGATGATCTTCAATCTGCCTTGTAGTTTTATTATTTCCAAATATTATTCGCATTAAGAGCAGCGCTTAAATTAAGTGATGATTGATTCGAATAGTATTGAATAATAATAAAAGAGTGAATAGCTGATAAGAACAAGAGTAAAAAACCAATGATTCACATCTAATTCATTGCTATATCTGCTGTCTAAAGAAGTCTTGTATTCTAATAGAAGTTAGGTTGTTAGGTAGTTTCAAAGTGCTCCTCGGAAAGCTCAGTAGGGTCCCAGAAAACTCTTGGAAATATTTTATGCAATCAGGATTGAATGGACGTTTCTTCGAAACATCTAGTAGGGTGACATCACGTGTCACATTTTTAATTGGATAATTACTTTTTTACTCGTATATTTAGTATACTTGTAAGACTTTCTGGACGATTAAGGTCATGTTAATTAATATAAATACTCATGACTCTCTACACCGAGGAAAACTTTCTTTTGCATTTCGCTCCTTTGCTTGTGTGTTTAATTTGCCGTTTAGATTTTATCTGGGGTTATTAGAAGCTGCTAGAAAATATGATCAGTCACTTAGTTAATAGAATTACCTCTTACTTGTTTGGTTTCTCGGTGGTGAGTTATATAAATAGTCCATTGGTAGTCACCCAAAATGCAAGAAATGATATTTTTGTGTAATCGCACTCTAATTGTTATGGCATATTTCCGACTTCAGGGTGTTCAGACAGGAACTGCACACTAATTTCTATTATCCAGATTTCAAAACACATGATCATGTATATAAATTATGACACGCTGTCGTTAATAAACCACGGTGTGTACTAAACTAAAACACTACAAGTGATGAGTCATGAATAATTAACAGTAATTTATGGACGGACAAAGATGTAAATATAAGTGGTGAACCTAATTATATCGTTACCCATTTTTAGTAAGTGGATGTATATTTCGTCATGTATACTGAGTTCTCAGTGTACCCTCCTGGATTTCAGATTTTTAATTACCTCTTCCTAAAAAGTAATCTTGGGTTCGAACTTCAGTTAAATAACCAAACAGTTATTTTATCCCTACGTTGTAAGTTTACAACAATGTATATAAGTAATGTCGTTCAAGTTTTATATTATTTCGTTTTTTCTTTTGTTTTATACTTCTCAAGTATCATCTTATTTGTTTCCTAGGAAATAGATGAACCTGTATAAAGGATACAATTGATATTCTCAACTCAAATTCTGTAGATCTCCCATCTGTAAAATAATGACGCGTTTCTAGATTCCTGCATGTTTAGTGAAATTATCATTGGAAACTGTAAATATTATGTACATAGATAATCATCGATTTTTTAAATTTTACATACGTATATTTAAGATGATGTGATCTGTTTCTGATGAGTAACTGCAAATTAAACTTGAACACGGACAAGGATAATCATCCCTTCCTAATATCCAGATAAAGTACAATGTCTAACATTCTTCTTCTCATTTAGTAGGCGTGACACACATTAAAGCATTATTTCCTACCGAGAATTCCATTTCAAAAATTTAAAACTACGTATGTCTTCTATAAATACGCTGCTGCAGCACATCCCAACTTACCAGATGAGGAAAGCAAACAAAGTGATAGAGCTTTAAGTGGAATCATTAAAGATTATGGCATGAAGTGCAGCTTTCACTCACCAAGTAAATGGAAAAGGGTTAGATATTGGACACAGACTGAACGTTGAAAGGGAGATACTCTACAAATTTGTGCATGTTTGTCGATTCGTTGTCTACATGACCGTAGCCTTCAAGAAGAAAGATCTATGCACCTGGAAGAGTTACATTCAGTTTCTCTGTCCATTTTCGTTCATAGTCCGGTCACCCCATATGGCGTTTTGTTATGGACTTTCATTGTCAACCCCTTTATGTATCTCTGCCTTGTTCTATTCTGAGTCGCATACTCATCTTTCTTCATTCACATGTTCTTATAATCATAATAATTCTCTTTATACTCTTGTAACGTGTTGTATCCATGTGACTTCGTTGTTATGTTGATCACCACAACATAACAATTCTCGTATGGTTTACTGTCCATATAATTCACTTTTTCCCAGCTTGATTATAATTTCCTACCCCTTAGGCAACTTTTCTAGCCTACGATTGGCTTGTTTTAATGTGTTTATCCTGTTAAAGGTTTTCATCCTACAATACTTAATTCAACCACAAGCAAATACATTTATCATAAACTTATATCTGTTGAGCCTGATGATCAACTTATTGTAAATGATCGTTCCCTAAATACTCGGTTTTACTGCCGGACTCTATTTATGCTGTTACGTTAATTGTGATTGTTTTATGTGCCTAGGTTGAACTGATCAGTAAATATATGCTTATCTGGTGGTAGATGGTCCACGATTCAGTCTAGTTCTATTAATTTCGGAAATAAGAGTATAAAGAGTTTCCGTTTCGTAAGTGTCGTTGTGAGCGACTGATGTTATACAGAGTAACCTTTACTGTGTCGTGCAAGCTCGAGGGATTTTATTTTTTAGCAAGCAGTGTTTACATATGGTCAATTTAGGACCCTGGATTCAGAAGTTTGTGCATAGAGTGTTTTAGTAGTTTGGTAGGTCATTCAGATTTTTTAACAACGATACAACGTTGTTACTAATGTTAATAAGCTTCACCTATCTATTTAATTACGAACTCAATCATTCGATAAAATCCACTTCTTGGGGCTTGATTAGAGAAGATACTCTGTTAGTTCTTTGAAACAGGGCATATATACATACATGTGACATGTCCATCCTAAGTTACTCAGACCTTTTCACTAGATGATGTTGAGGTCCTCTTCTTTTAGCTGCTTTTGGGGATTAGAAATGCTATTAGTAGGTTCTCAATCTGGTAACTATTCGCAAACCCCAAGTTAACAAAGGTCAGGAGCCGACTACATACATGGTTTGCTTCCACTCCGAATGAATAAAACCAACTAGTAGGGTAGAACACTAGTCATTCGCCAGTGGAAGCAGTCGGGATATTGAAACAACAGTGATGAACTGGTGTCATAAATATTATCAGTGAACCTCGCCATAAACAACCTCGTGCACTTATTTCAAACCTCATATTATAATGAGGACTTTTTCTGTGGTGCAATCCATCTAGCAATGGGGTAGTTATTGCTAATTCAAATACTGCCGGAAGAAGTCAGTTTGAATATTTTCAAAATAAATGTATTGAAGCAATACGTAGGCCAGTTTTATTGTTCGATGTATCTATTTTATGAGTTGCAGCAATATGCTTCAAGCAGCTGTGAAGAATTGAAGTTAATCATGAGAATGTCATCCAAATTCACTTGGTGGATACATCTGGTTTGACATTTGACCGAAGCAAATTAGTAATATGGACAACTTATAGGGAATTTTCAATGAAAGGCTTCTTGCGAACAGAACTACCCAGAAAACAAAGACTCGCAGATCCGTCTTTGTTATATCAGATCATTTTAAATTCTGGTGACATTAATCATTCGAAAGATATAAATACATATCCAGACTTGCATCGGAATCAGCATCAGGTAATAGATGTCTCGTTATGTCATCGGTAGAACATACATGCTGTCGTAAGTTCATAATTTGCAGTTTCCATAACCACTTAGTAGTATTCAACCATTTCAATTACGTAAACTGTGTTCTTTCGGTTGCAGATGATCATAACATATTTCTTTACCAATAACAAGGTAATCCCAGTTATTGTGCTGTAGGTTCAACTGTTCCGACCTTGTCATTAGTAAAAGTCAGCAACTCAGAACATGGGCGAAAGTTTTGTAGAGGCTGTCTACTGTAACATCACAGCACCCGACAGGTACTAGAGGTTTATGTTAGTTCACTCATGCGCGAGCGACTTGGGGGAAATATGGGTAAAACACAGCTTTACCTGAAAATAGTAGATAAATCTCAAATCTCCCCTGTTTTTACGTCATGAAAGACGAAATGAGAGTTCTGGGTATGACAATATTTAGATGTGGAGGGGAGTAATGTCATTCAAAACCAAACTGGAAAAGCGGCTGGAGCGTCCTCAGTGTTGTTTTAAGTCGATTGACACCAAGCACATGGTTAGAATATACAACACTTTTTATAGGTACTAAGATTTAAAATCAAAAGATATCACCACTAACTTAGATGATTTTTGAGCTATGGACTTAGAAAATTTACATTTAAGTCTTAGTGCGGAGGACGTAGTGTCCACAGAAGGATCTTACGGACAAATGTTCGCTGACAACAGGATTAGTCGTAGCTAACAGTGGATGGTCATTGAGAGATAATAACTGATATTATTCCGGAGGCTATACTGGGTAACGACAATTCGAAAGATAGAATCTTTGCAGGGAACTCCCACATAAGGCTTAAAGTATAGTCTGACATAAATGAGAAGTTGTCTCAATATTTTTCAATCAAAGTTCTTATCTGGCACTGTGGAGTAGACCCAATGCCAAAGAGATGAGAGACAAGATGTATTCCCACACTAACTTATCACGTAAAATAAGAGCTTATTCAAAACCGCTCAACAGATTCATGACCATACTAATGTCTACGAACGAAGTGGCGGTGCTCTCCCAGGACCGAACGCTTAAGATCCTATAAATCTAGAAATGGTACAAATCGTTAACGACAATTTAGTCACAACTTAAAACAGGTGCTTATAATCGTTGGACATACATAATCATAAATTGTCACCTGTAGAGATGGGCAGGGTTATGGCCAAGAAATCCCAACCCCTACGATTTAACTTTAGTGACCCTGAGTTAATGTTAGATCGACTGAATCATTTCTTCACGATGCAACGTATTAGGTATTGGAGAATTCGATGGAGAGACATCTGTTTTGTGTTTCTGTGGTGTTTGAACGAACCAATGATACCTCTGTACATGTGGATTGCTCGATTTCGAATTCCAAATACAATACATTCATTTGTGGTTGTGTTGTACTTCTTAATTCAGTTGCGTTAATTCTGGGATTCCTAGTTCATACGATAATTCAAATACTTCCAAACATCATAGTTTCCTCCTTCAAATACTAAGGAATCCTGTAACTTAATTTTGAACTTTGTAGTGTCCCAGCCGCACTCCAATTTAAGACGTGAGGTGATGAATAGCAAAATGATCCGAAGGCTTTGCCCCGGGGAGATACTAAGTTATGAGTCATTATTCCTATACTCACGTCACAAAATGTCTTAGTGTCAACGACGTGAGGAAAGGATGAATGTATATCGGCATTGGACCCTAACCACACGATCTTACAAGCAGAGCATATAGTTAATTAAAGAACTTTCATTCAACAACTGACACGAAGAGAAAGCCAACTATGGAAAACATGGGAAAATGAATTCAATTCATTGGATGGCGTGACTAAGCTACGTGTACAACTTGTAACTTTTATTCATATTAAATATATTGTTCTATCTCCAGCCCAAATGTGTTCTTTGTAAACGCCAATCATATTGCCAATTGTTACGATACGATTAGTCAGCGTGGACAATGATGAAACTTCCACGTAAGATCATATAGATTAGGTATCGACATGAAAAATCTTCAATTTAAGGTTGAAGTTTATTATTCGAGCAGTACTAATAAAGAAGTAGACAATAGTTCCACAGATGTAAGCTCTCCGATGCTTCATGTCACGCTGTTTGGATGCAAAGTGCTGGGATATCTTTTTACCTTACTTGCATCGCATGCATCGCAAAATAATCGAGAAAGGTCCCCATAATGAGTTGGAGTTTATATACTACTCCTAACTAAGGGTGACCATGAACATCTAGTTTGGAATTTACTTATGGCTGCTAATTGCAATAAGTTAGCTCAAGTCAGACCAAACTCATGGAAAGCAAATGTACTGAAAATAATAGTTTAGCGCATCATGATTGCTTTCAGAAATTATCCGAATGGTAAAGAGCTATGGAGCTGTTGATAAATCCCTCCCAGTGCATTATAGTCCATATTGTTCACCAAGGCACTGATACATACACGGTAACTTACACAGAGCTACTTGTTGTCCAGAAAAACAATGACCTAGGTCTCGTTTTTAACCAATACTTGAAAAACGAACTTCTGCACATGTGTGTTATTTCTGCCAAAGGTTTCTTAGCTCTCTGGTCAGTAAGTAGAGCCGTACCCATGTGAATGAGGAAAGGTTTTCGACTTCGTTTACAGTGTTTATTTTGACCAAACTTGAGTATTAAAAACAAACAGCCAGCTCCTGGTTAAAAGAAAGGTGAGCAGTCGTAAAACATGAAAGAATCGCAGCTAAGTTGATTTCCGCGAGACACTAAAAATGTTCAAAAGCCCAGAACAAGTTAGTTACCATCTGGCTGTCGATTTTCTCACATAATTTTGACTTTTGTAATCAGTACTCAGGCAAATCGTCCTCTTCAACCCATGCAAGACGTTCTTGGAGATAAACTTAGCAAAATTCCTCAACAAATCACGTAATTTCTCAGGAACTGTTAGTGCATAGTTCTTGTGGGCTGTCACTAATGCCTAATGTTCTTCCCACTGGATGTCCGAACATTTCATTTCTAAAAATTTCACCGTTGTTTTCAACAGGTATTGTTTCTTAGAGTTTCGCTTCAGTTGGCGATGGTGTGACGCGAATATTTTGTGGGCGAGGTTTCCCAAGATAAAAAGCTGCTCTCATTTCTTTACAGATTCATCAGTACTTTGTGTGATACTACTTGATACCACGTGCCATACATGATATGAGACGTATGTAGTGATTGAAGCTATACAAAATCAATAGTTTGTAGCTTACTTTGCAAAATGTCCTACTGTTTACCAGTTGATACGGATATGCTTTTACTAAGGTATCTATTGACTACGTACAACTGTTTGATTGAGAATCGAATTGCAAATGCAGTCTGACGGAATGGCTTGAAAAAATAAAAAGGGCAGAGTGTTATGTTTGTAAGCTAATGTGCTATGCTTACGATCGTTTTTCTTGTCGCTCTTTCGGTACATGATGTATCCCCGTTTTATTAAAAAATATGTTTAGAATCTATATTGTATGATCAGCTACCTATTTTTGTGTCCCCGAGGACATAAAAGGATGAAGATATCCACAGCTATCCGTTACAACAAGTGGGAACAATGAGCAATTACATTTATATTTACAAAGTAATACTCTTACCTTTTCTTATTAATGCTACATGTGAAATCGATAGATAATAATTCAGAAAATTTTCAGCAGATTTCCTCGTATTCTTGTGTTGGAGGGCACACATATTGAATTCCGGTAATCGAAACAATATTCTCTCAACGTTCAATTTTGAAATAGTACACTAAACATGACAAACTGGGTAGTGCGAACCTGAATTTAATCCACAACACACTCGGGTCGATTTCTGATTTTAAGTTCTTTTCAGTGAG